ATACATCGCAGTTGTGATACATTCATCGATTCTTTGTCTCTTTTGTTCATCTACATTCTAAGGTAATACTTGATTATCTAATTCTATCTCTCTCTCTCTTTCTCTCTTTCTTTGTGTTACCTATTTTCCGAATTTCTTCCGCTGGGCTATACCTTCTTCGTGATATCACTTTGGTATCGCAGTAAACTCCGCAGCAAATATGCCAAGACGGTTTGAGCGGTGGGGAGTCATGGGTTGGCGTCGGCATCCCTTTCTGCGCTCTCTAGGGGAGCGGTCACGTCAATCTGCGTTCGCTTGTGCTACTCCACTTGGCGTATGGGACCTCAAATCCCGGTAACTTCTAATCACCCTCTGCAGGAAACACTTTGCGCGCTGATCTAGGGTTAACGTGGTTCGTCTTCGGAGATCGAACGTGGTTCCTAAAAATGGAGGTGCTACACGGATGTCAGCTCCAGCATCGCGCTTTTTTAAAATCTCTTGAAAATGATTCAACAATAGGCTTTTTCAATAGTTCTCCAGAAGTTCTACAGTTTCTGATAGGTTTCAACAATCGTTCTGCTACGCAACATTGGTAAAATATGTATTAAATATGCTTGTGGCATCATACGCTTCAGTGCAGGCAGACATGAGTTGCTTGCTTTTGTCATATTAAACTTACCGAGCTTACACTGTGCGATCGAATTTAGGATTGCAAAGAAAAAAAGTATTTAGGCTATATCCGATGAGTTGTCTCGTTCTAAGTGTTGCTTTGGGAACCAGCGATAAGTAGCGGAGGACTGTGCCCGCCAGGCTACCCGTTCGTGATCACGTTCAGCTCGGCTACGACGGAATATGCATTATCGACGGAGGCGATGATCACAAAATTCTATTCCCGGACTCGGCGCTACGATTTAGCGCCATGTTTTTGGTATCGCCTAAAACCGTAGCGTTGTGCATCTCCTTACTCATCTCTGTCGCCTAAAACCGTAACAATTTACATTTCCCTACTCATCTCTGACTGAACAGCACACATGGATGGTGATTCGGTTAGTGCGCAGGAGCCTTGGGTACCAATATCACGATCAATCCAAAACGCGGGTATCGTAAAACGGTCTTTCACTCAGGTAGCACGTCAACGCCGAAATAAAATTGGTTTAAAGAAAGTCGGCCTACTGGCAATTTCCCAACTCATATCTGCTATTATGAATAAAATACATTCCGGTTAATGATTTCGGTTTCGGTTTTTCACTGTAACAAGTTCAAGGTTCCGTTTCGGTTTCTTATTTTTCCAGCTATTACCGGTTATCCATTTCGGTTTCCGTTACGATTACGGTCCCTGATTCAAACCGTTAATATGTCGGTATCAGTTGGACGGATGGTAATAGGATGTTTCGACGTTGACTGAAGATATTTTACCACCATACTTATCCTTCCGGAATATTCGAAACCTGCTTTACCGATAGCCATTACAGAGGTATTCACTCGGTATGATAAAATACTTGAGAGACATCTAGAGATTTCTATAGAATAACTACTCACAAACTGCTGGCAATTTCGTAGGAAAGTCAATCGAGATTATAGTATATCTAAAGATGGCTGCCGGTTTGTTTTTATCTTGTGATTAACCTCTGTAAAATATCGTTCATCGCGCAGTACATATTTTATTAAAGAAGACACACCCAGTGGCAAAATCATCCTTAACGAAAAATGCCACCAAAATTCCGAAGAACTTTATCCGGGGAAGACCTGAGAGCCGCGGACGAGGTTGAAAAGGTACGTGAGCAACGCTGTCAAACGAGTAGAGTGGCAGCTGCTTGGAATCAATATGGCTGCGGGCGGGATATTTCACTGATATTCAAATTTTATTTCACAGGAATCCCTTTTAGAACATGACAGTGATCCTGATGAAGATATGTTATTTAAGTACGTATCTCATAAAGTGAACTTGAGCAATATTATTCAATAGCGCCACCAGTCAGTTTTATGCGTTATCATCAAACCGTTTAAATTAAATTTTTAGTAATCTAGAGATTTATCACTCACAAGCATTTCTACTACCCACTAAGTTTACCATTTTGTTACTTAATAATGACTAAAATGGTTTAAGCACAATGTATTAACTGCAATACATGTTATACTTAACAAGAATTTATACTCAAAGATAATCTTTTTTTGGCACTTTAGCCGTCCAAGTACATCTACCGAGAACGTACAAGTTCACGGGAAACTAGACAGGTAAAATATAAATATTGTTAAAAAACATTTTGTGATACTGTCTACCAGTGTTAAAATACAAAATGTATAGTTTCTGATATTTTATGTTACAAAGTGTCAGGATACAGATAAAAGAAGTGACTGATACGATGCGGGACAATATGCAGAAAGTAATCGAGAGAGGAGATAGAATGGAGGATTTACAATCAGCAAGTGAGCGTTTATCAATGGCGGGAAATGAATTCCGAGATGCAGCGAGAAATGCGCAAAGAAAAGCGTGGATGCAAAATGTTAAAGCAAGAATCATAATAGGTGGGATAACTTTGATGCTCGTCCTGTGTATAGTCGGTAAGGATTAACGTACCATGTACTATTAATTAATATTTTTAATAATTTTACGAGCAAACTTAAAAGCAGCACTTTTTGCACTCATATGGTTTAGTGGAATTTCATGTGACAATAGACAATTGCTATTTTGGATTTTAACCCATTCATTGCTTACAGATAATTTTTTGTTCAATTTTCTTTTCTTTCTATGATCCTTTTTTTATTTTTTATTCACTGCTATCTTTAATTTCGTCATCTTGTAGTTAGAAGAGCATGTATCATTTTCAGTTCTGGACGTCATGGTGCTTTACCTGGTACTCAGATAAAATGAGGGTTGACAAGCATTCGATATAAGGAATTAAGGTATTTGAGTTTTCTATTGGTATTTGATTGAGAATTATCAACTGTACAATTTATGTACAATTAATTAACAATGTTTAGATATTATAACAGCTGCAAGTAAAGTGCTCAAATATCTTAATTTGTAGTCGGTTATCTAAAGCCTTATCGATATTGTTATCAGTTATACATCTATTTATCAATTTCTTTTTACAGTGCCCATTATCGTCAAGTATTCATGACCATAGCACCGTCTCGACGTCATCCAAAATCATCATGTAATTCCTATTGTAATTTTTAACTATATTCTTACTATATATTTTTATTTTCTTCTAAGTAAATCGCATATATTATATTTTATCTATAAGTGTTAATAAATTTTGTAGTGCATAAAAGTTTAAATTGCATTCAGTTACCTGTAGATAACAGATAGTATCTCAAATAATTATTTTGTAAGCTGTACATCCAACTAAAAACAAAGGTGAATGATAAGGGGAAGTGGTAGTTATCATGGTTGGGTCTTTTGATAACATAAGTATAACGATCATACACCCATAATTTTCACCCTGTACGAATATACTTTGGGGTCGATGAAGCATATGTTTGAATTAACATTAATTATATTAATTTAAAACTTCAATAAGAACCTCATCTTCTGGTCCACCTATATTCTTGTATAATTCTGACTCAAGCTAATAACTTTGATAACCGGATCGTCTAACATCTGCCATTACATAGACGTAGGGTCTTGTGATCGCAACATAAGAATCTTACCTCGTAAAACAAACCATAAGTCCAGTTAACTGCCGTTAGTGCATGTGGTACTTGTCTCAACCCCTTAAAGGCATACTCACCAAGTTCGTATGTCCATTTACGGTTTACGAGCTGAGAACTAAACTAACCTAACCACCACTCTACCGTCTACTCACATAATTACAGGACAGCATCTGCAAGGATTAAAGTCAGCTGGTAGGGTAAATTTTGTTATAGCATTTAAATAGGAAGAGAGGAATTGTTTAAACCATAAATTCGTATTTTACAGTGTTATGGCCTTTAGTTTGATACCTACTGATATTTTTAAACTCAAATTACTGTGGGTTTAAGATTTAAATACTTGCTTTGTATTTTTCATCATCAATTGAACACTTATAATAATGAAATAATGCTTCTTGAAAATTTTCTATTAAAACACGTTTCTCATGTCAACCAATCAATTCTTTCACTATGCTATTGGTACTCGTGCGAACTATCATGGCTTCTGGTGTTTTATGGTTGTCTAAAATAATTGGTACTGTGAGCATGATTAATTTGAACGTTGCATTATCACCTTCACTATCAAGAGAGTCCAACAGACAGTAAATTCTCTTGGGAGAGAAGGTCAGAAATGAAAATTGACACGTTAGCCAAGCTGAAGGATCGGATCTCATCCGGTTATCACTGAGACAGGATAGACAGCGGTTACAGAAAGATTTTTTGTGGTTTGATGAACACCTGTTTAAGTGAAATTTTCCTGAATCTGAACTTGGGGCTGCTGGATAACAGAGACTCTGATGGATCGATAGAAGTTAGATTGTTTTATAAGGGATGTAATTAATTCAATTTTTGGATGAATTTTTCGAGATTTCTCAGGTCTCATACTTCGAAACTCTTGTCTCAATACAGCAATTCTGTAATCCAGCACGTTTCAGGGGTCAGAGAATAAACTTTTGGTAGCACTTTCTCAACAAGTACGATTCTTAGTGTTGTTAACTTGTTTCTGTATCCTGTTATCTGTTACTAAGGTTTTCCCATCGTTAAATTCTGCTGTTAGGACTTTGGTGTATCTTGACGAATTGTAAACAATTTTTTGTCCTTAGAAGTTCGCAAGTTTTACTGTAATCAGGACATGATAAGTACCATGTTTTCGAAAAATCTCGACTAGTTATGCCTACTGTCGACCAATTTTCAAAACCACTTACCAAGACCCTGAAAATACCATTTTTCTCTTTCTCATAATGATCCTGTATTTTTTGTTCTAGTAAATTTCATCAGATCGTACAAATATTCCCTATTGACCTCGATCAAGATTTCATTTCAGGATGAACAAGTGGAAGTGTCTATCGTAATATCAACCGCGTTAGAGAAGCGGGAACTTCCATAACGCGGATGTGGAAATCCCATTTCCCGCGACTGAGATGGATCAGGAAATTTCAGTGATTTTCCAAGAATGTCCAAAGGTCAAGAAAGGTTTTCAGGCTAATTGAGGTTAGCCGGGGTTATCATGAGAGCACGGATAATATACGTCATGTAATAGACAAATAAAATATGTACGTTAGTGAAAGGAAGTCTAACAATAAGACGTTGTCTGGACCTTGTCGACTGGCAAGAATAATGTCCTCGTAAGGACATTGCCATTGTGGTTCCTTGCAAAGTCTTCTTAAGCCATACATAAATATTTGAAAAATCCTGATGAATCGTTTTTGAATCTTTTTCGAAATTTTCTTCAATTCTCTCTGCTTTTTCAAATCAGCAATGACTGGACAATAAACTCATGCACCTCATAATGTTTCTTTACCGAGTGTGATTGGTGTTATTTTTCCAATCGAATGGTGGACCACCTGTTGCTACTGATTCTGGGTAGGTTACAGTCGACTGGTTGTTGGCCGCCAGCGCTACTGATTTATCGTGCGAATAAACAAACCAGCAATTTCGTTTTGTAACCAAATTCGAGATTGAATGTTGAAAACATATATTCACGAATGAGCTGTTACCTGACGATTCGATAAAATTTCTCCATGGAGGAAATGTCAACAATCCAAATTAGTACAAAGCGAATACCAACAGATCTATATTTCAGCATTGATTAAACAAAAATTGTATAGCATATTTAATAATTTACAATAATACTTTTAATTTTTACCTCAAAACTATACAAAATTGCACGTGAGTCCCAATTAGTGTATAACCAAAACCATGACGATTCTCAAAATTAGCTGCTACGCTACAGATAAATATTTCCATACAAGTTTGTAGTCGTAACAATATTTTAACCCTAAATACACACGTGCAGTCTCAAAGACCTCACCAATTTCATCTTTAGCTCCGAATTTGTCTGTACGTAAATTTTTAACGAATTAAAATAAATACGTACTTACTAGATAATTATTACTTGATACTTGGTCATTAAATTTGTTTAAACTAAGAGAAGAGCGACATGAAGCTCTACTTTTTAACTATTCTATTCGTTTTAGTAGCCCTACAATCGAGTTCCATAGTATGACGTCTCGCAGACCTCACCTTTTAAACTATGCTCCTAGAGTTGGACTTATGTAGTTAAGAATTAATGCGATGGCCATCATAGTCACAATAAATTCAGAGATGCGCATGCCTGTTCCTCGTTCACCCGAGACAACATTAAATCTTTAATTCCTGTTAACGAGTCATTGAATATATCCGTTTATAGTTACCAAGGATATCCAGTATCGATGGAGTATAGATAACATGGTCATCCTATCACACATCACTGATCGTTCCTCGCATTCCGCATGGGACTCTTAAAATAGCAATAATTCCTTACTGCCACCGTAACTCTGAAAACATCGGTAAACTGTTTCACGACCAATATCCTATGCATTTGATATACGTATATGCCAGATGTATTATTGGCAAATGGTAGTTAACGATGTATTTCAATTCACTTTTTGAGGATACATTTCATTATCAACAATGTATTGTCATGGTATTATGCTAAAAAAAAGAATTTTTCTCATCAGTTATTAAGTATGACTAACGGCTGGTTTCTTCACTTTCGGATAACTTTTATCTGACTGATAGCTATCCTCTATTTTAAGAGATATCTTCCGTAAAAACTTATCGGGAACTTATTTGAAGGTGGAGAAACCGGCCATAAGAAGCACGAAATAAGGCGACAAGAATTTTATCAGTTCTACGCCAATGCGCGCCAATGACAGTCGGTTATTGTGTACATACGTAGTCGTGGTTAGTTTAGTCGTTGTCGCGGCACTCACCGATGCCGATGTTAGCCTCCCGCAAAGCCGGTTTCACGAGTCTCAGAAACGTTCCAAAGTAATATACGGGAGTGAAGGAATTCCTTGTTGTTCAGAGATGACGGAATTATATCAACTACTCATTTCCGCGGGTGTCGTGCTCCTGGGTATCTTCCTGTTCACGGGAAGTCGATGGAGATTTCTGTACATTCTGTACAAAACGTTGCCCCGCGATATCCTGTGAGTTTTTAATTATATCAACGGCCTATGTATGATGTATATAAAACAAACTTGTACAACAAGATATTGTATTAATCATATACGAGGCCAACTCATATGCGTATTTAATGTTTATAATAAATACGGCGCGGAATAAACTGTTGATAAGATACCGTCTACGCGTTTATTACGTCTGGACTAGAACTGGTGATAAAAATCGATTTTTCTGAAAATCGATGTTTTAGCCTGTGATTATCGATATTTTTTATCGATTCTTTAGACTTTGACATATCGACAGATCAGTTTAAATCCTACGAAGTCCAGCTCTCGTGGCAGAGTTTATTATTAGTTATGGTTTAGTATTAGGTTATGTTCCATTTCACAATTCAAAGTATACTTTTCAGACAACACGTACCGTCCAACAGTCGTCTTAAAGATATTTAATGCGACGAAGGTTGTCTTTTGAGCATCTGAAACATTATTAAGACTTTCGTGCTGTCTGGGTTTATACACTGATAATTAAAGTTATTACTAAATTTTATGAAAGATGAATTTAACGCATTATAATTCAATTAGATTTCTAAGTATGTTTCATGCTTTGTCATTAATTTTATAATTTTCCAGACGTCTAATCCCTAGTCCTAGACGTTATTACGTCTACAAAGATAAATTCCGAGTGTAGATTTAGAGATGAAATTTTCGTAGAAAAAAATTTTATACGGAGGGGAAAAAAACCTCGCGACACCCACACTGTGTTGTTACGCAAGAGGGGTCTGTAGTACGTATACCCTTGAGAAATTCTTTTAGTGAAAACAAAGTTTGCTCATGTTCCTCGTGTTGTGATTGGGATTGCATAATAGAAGCCATTTCCATCGTACCTAGGTCCCTGGTTGAATTGATACGTTACTGGGGCCCACTCGGTCACATGGTGGTGATAATAGACGCTGTGGAGTATGGTTAGCGTTCGTATGGCGCGTTTGAAATTTTAACGGGGTCTGACTGACTGCTTCCTCAATTACATTGTTTTGATGGCTGACGTAGTAATTTTGGATCTTTGATAGAACAGGTCAGTATCGTCATGAGTGACGAAATTGTTGGGCGCTTGACCCAATCTTCACCGTTGGAATCATTATTTATCCATTTAATTTTTTTTTCATCAATGAAATCCGAATTTCTCTATTTCTTTATTTCGTGATAAAATCATTTCAAAATGAATTATACAATAGGCCAAGGCATTGCACATATTGCTTGAGGTATGCTGCAACATGAGTGACCCTGACGTGGTTGGGGTCAGCATGAATAATCATGCATGAGGTGTCGCTGAACTAATAATATACGAATTAAATTTATATGAGCTCCGTATTAACACTTACTCTCATCTCGAAGATACGGTCTATTTTAGTGTTTTAGTTTATTTTTTGGTGAAGGAATTTTTTTTGACAATTCCACTTTATTTCCTGTTATTCCAAGCGAAAGCGATCATACTTTCAGTCGCACTGAATTTTTGACCTGCCAAGTGTGCTAATCATTGGACCTTTGAGCGGTACAAAGTAACGCGCGGCGTAATTCTTTAAATGTTTTCGGAATTATTTAACCAAGAACGACGTACCTGACTCTTGAATATTTCATAAACTACTTAGGATGGGGCAACCAGTAGACCCGTGACTGCTTCAACGAAACCTGTGACGTAAAAGTTCAGGCACGCACGTGACATAGTATAAATATTTAATATAAAATATTTTTTAAAATACGTGATTAATTGAAAAATATTATTTCTCAAATATGCACGTGTGACAGTTTTAGTAGCTAACACATTGTGAATTCGTAATTAACGCGATATAGAACAATAATTCATGAGAAAATGATACAAGTTCAAAGCTTCAATACATTGTTTTGATTCTAATTAATTATATTCATACGAACGTCAATTCTCTAATTGTCCATCGCCATTATACCGTAATTGCCAATTATTCCTGATAATTAATCCAATCGATTTCAATCCGATAACTTCGCACTACTTCAATCGCACCTGTAACTTCTCTTTATTATTTCATTTAATTACTTTTAATCACCGTAGAATAATGACTCTAAGGGCCTAATCGCCTAGTGTCGGATGACTACGTTCTACAGCAAAGGCGTATTCGCGCAGGGATCTGATAATTTATAAAAATTCACCGCGGGAGAGAATGGAATGGATAATTAATAAAAATTATTTATGTAATAATCAATTAATAAACTTTGAAAATTTTTAGTCTATGTCAATTCTCAGCGAAATTTATTATTCCCTACGCTGTCTATGGTAGTCACTTTTGACACACCTTAAAGTGTGTTATTGGTCCCACGTATCCCAATGTACAGATAACACACTTGCTAGTGTGTAAAAAGTGACTACCATAAAAAAATAGCACACTTTGATTAACAGTGCAGAAAGGTGGAATCAATGCCAAAGTCATTGAATCTGGTATGACATATATGCATAAGAGACTCAATAGATATGTATACCCATGCATGATACGAAGTCTTGAATGAATAACATTTTACACGTTTACACCTAAGTACAGTACGTTAAATTTCCACTGTTAGAATTTAATGAAACATACATTATTTTGAAAATAAAATTTCAAATTAAAAAATTATTTTTAAAAATTTTGAAAATCAAATTTTCAAATATACCTCATGTAAAATTTGACAATTTTACAAAAAAATGAATCCAGCATGTATGTCATGTGAGACTTAAAATTCGCCAATATAACAATAAAAGTAGGGATCCGCATATGGCACAAGCTGCCCGCGTGACGTACTCCAACACGGTATTAACCAATTTGTTAGAAGAGAAGAGGATGTTACAGGCGGTAGAGTCCATAGTACACATATGACCATAGTTAAAAACATACGATCCGGTGCGAATGATATCGTCAAAGAGATAAAAAATGATCTTGTGATATTTCAGTGGTGCCTTTAGATTTTTTCAAGTGAACGCATTGCTATGGTGGTGGGAAAGAAAAGGATACACCGTGGCTGCCGTATTCAGCAGATTGGCGGCTGCTCATCCAGAAAAAATTGCATATATATTCGAGGAGAAGGAATGGACTTACAAGGAGGTAAAAATATATATTTTTTTTTCCGTTTATAAATATTCAAAATTTACACGTTACTCATATTCGTTGCTTTTCCTTTTTACCAGGTTGAAGAATTCACTAATCAAGTCGGACGATATTTCAAGTCTAAGGGATTATCAAGGGGCGATAGTGTCGCTCTTGTCATGGAGGGCCGTCCTGAGTATATTGGAATCTGGCTGGGCCTTAGCAAGGCAGGATTTGTCGCTGCACTTGTGAATAATAATTTACGTCACGACGTCCTGCTGCACAGTATACACGCAGCGGAATGTAAGGCTGTGATATATGGGTCAGAATTAAAGGATGGTATGGGGATTTAATATTTTCTTCATAGGATATAATAATCCACTGAGATATATAGTGGGATATAAATTTTATTATTATACTTATTGATTTTAGCTATAGAGGATATAAGTGATAAGATACCAGAATTGACCCTTTATCAATGGTCTGAATTGTCCAATACTCCAATCCTGGATCGAGCTATCGATCTGTCACCGGCTTTGGCAAACACGGATCCTGATCCTTTATTAGAGGATTTGGCATTGGGACATCCTAGGGATAAACTTCTTTATATCTACACATCCGGTACAACTGGCATGCCTAAGGCTGCTGTTGTCAATAGTCTTAGGTAACTGATATGGATCATTTTTCATTCCAGTCATTGTCTAGTCGTTATTACTGGGCACTGCAGTTGCATACGACAGCAGTATGCAAGCTGAGTTTCTGGTAGTAAAGAATAATAAAAGTCTTACTAAGTTTTTTTATAGTATAGGACCACTTGCACATATTCCACTATACTTTGGAATTTTTTCTATTTTAGTTTTAATATTAAAAATTTTTTTTTTTTTTATAATTAAGGTATATGCTGATGTCTTGTGGAGTACATGGAATGCTGGGTCTACGTGAGACTGATAGGATATATGATGCTTTGCCACTTTATCACACGGCTGGTGGTGTTGTTGGTGCTGGACAAGCGTTGCTTCGTGGAATCACTGTTGTTTTAAGAAGAAGATTTAGCGCATCGAAATTTTGGCCGGATTGCGTTTATTATGAATGCACTGTATGGTTATATAATAATGGAAGGATTTTTTAAGGGGGGATTGGATTGTTACTATGCTGTATAGTAAGGTGTTCTCTTTTTGAATTTTAGGTTGCACAGTACATTGGTGAAATTTGTAGATATCTATTGGCCGTGCCTCAAAGTCCTAACGACACTGCTCACAGAGTGCGTCTGATGTTTGGAAATGGTCTCAGACCTCAGATTTGGGAACCATTCGTTGAGAGATTTCGAGTTAAGCAAATTGGAGAATTTTATGGGGCTACTGAGGGCAATTCAAATCTTGGTAGGTACTCATAATTTAATGGATTATACATATTTTGAAAAAAATGATGAACAATATTTTTTTAGTTAACATCGATAGTACGGTTGGTGCTGTGGGATTTGTACCTAGATATGCCGGTCGTATGTATCCTGTTGCCTTATTAAGAGTAAACGAAGATACTTGTGAGCCAATCAGAGGACCGGATGGTTTATGCATAGCCTGTAAACCAGGTAGATAATTTTGAAAAAAATTTAATCTTCAAAACAACTCATTTAAAAACATTCTTAGGCGAGCCTGGAGTGCTGATTGGAAAAATCAATCCGAAAATAGCCGTAAACGATTTCAGCGGATACGCAGATAAGAAGGCTTCTGAAAAAAAAATCATTCATGACGTATTCAAAAAAGGCGAACGTGCCTTCAATTCCGGTTAGTTTGGCCTTGCTCAGAATAATTAATCAACCTCTAACTCAGATTGTAAGCTATATCCTACCTTACAGGTGACATTCTCGTAATGGATGAGTTTGGGTACTTTTATTTCAAAGACAGAACTGGCGATACTTTCAGGCAAGTGAAGAAAAAAAAGGAAAATTAAATTTTTTTTTGTATTTAGAACATTTCTATTCTACTGTTAGCAATTTTCTTCATACGGGATTAAAGGAAGTCATTAGATGGGTATGTTCTGGCTGATTTCATCCCTTATCGAAATGTTTGTTCAGATGGCGAGGTGAGAACGTAGCCACTTCAGAAGTGGAGGCTGTGATAAGCAATGCGATAGGCTTGAAGGATGCCGTCGTCTACGGGGTCGAGGTAATATCCCTTCTCAACTCCAAGTTGGCAAGCCTGTGATCGTATAGGGTACATCAAGCGGATACATCTATTTGCTTGTAATCGCTCTTTAAGGTCCCAGGGAACGAGGGCAAGGCTGGTATGGCAGCCATTTACGATCCGGAACACTCTCTCAACTTGAAGGAATTAGGAGAAGGAGTGAAGAAAGCATTACCAACATACGCCAGGCCATTATTCCTTAGGATATTAGAAGATCTGCCTATGACAGGTAATATTAAATATATTTTAAATTCTAAAGAAAAACAGAAATTCCTAACGCATGAAAAATTCGTTCCAGGGACATTCAAGCTGAAGAAAACAGATTTACAATCGGAAGGTTTCGATATAAATAAGGTAAAATTCCCCAGTAGAATATTTAATTCTTGATTAATCGAATAATTTATTATACATTTATTTGCTAGGTCAAGGATCCTCTTTACTTCTTCGACAGAACGGGTACCTACGTAAGGGTTACGGAACAGCTATGCAAGGACATTCAGGAGCAAAAAATTCGAATATAACGAGTATTCTCTAGACTATAAGGTCAATTAAGAAAAGAAGGAAGTTGTCCTTTGATCGAATCAAATTTTCAGATTCCATAAAAAGGAAGTTGACCCCTGCTATCGCTAGGAATTTCCTTTGGTGATTCAAGCCTATCTAGTTTCTCTAGTAATTCTAAGTTTTCCAAACGCATGCCCTGCATTGTAACTAAGGCTTGGTTAGACCGTGTTGCGAAGTTTATTGTTTAGTTGAAACAAAGTTTCGGGAAGTCTCTAATTTCATTAAAGCTTTTGCCTTGTGGCATGTTATGAGCGCCCTCGTCTCACGCCATTGGTAACAAGCAATTTTCCAACAAAGGAATCTTTTTATTCTTACATTTACCTTTCTCTTTCTTTCTCTTCATTTACGTTAGATCTCCCTTTTACAATTCTACGCATTTAATTGTAATATATTATAGTAAATAAGTAGGTGTACTATAAGGGCATGTTTGACTGACGCTGTAAAATGGATAAGGTGAGGTTATGTAAACAAGCTGTAATTAATCAGTAGAGTACAATAGTAAATAGTTAATAATTACGTATACGAACCTCAATCCCACTTTTAATGAATTTTCTATAAAATTTCCAAACGAGGAATAAATGACAGGTATTAAGGTCTATTAATTTATAACCGCTATATGCTTCCAGTTTTATGAAATTCTATTAATAGACTTTCCAATAAAGCCCAAGGCCTCAAAATCAATGATAACAAATGTGTATTTATTTTCAAAATTTTAAAGACTCCTTTATCTTTGTTTTTCTAAAGAAATAAAAGTTTGTATCAAACTTTTAATTTATGAGGTCTGCCTGTATCAGACTTTTCAAATGTAAACGCAGATTCGAGGAAATACCGATCTACGATTGGCCGAATGCCAGACAGCATATTTATTTGGTGAACACCCGGTAACGAAGCGGTAGCAGAATTGTAAAGAAGCGTCTTTTATCACTACGCAGTCGCAAACTTTAATCAGGGGTTCTCATTCTTGATACGATTGAATAACACGCAACATAGATATAATTCTAATTACTTTTCACATTACCCATTATGTCACAAGAAAATGGACAGCCTCGAGCTTTTTGTTTTATGATAAAAAAAAACATTAACTATTACTTATTAAAAAACTGCTAAAATGTTTATCAAACAAATTTGCCAAGTCACTTCATTTGCACTTGACACAGAGATTCTCATTGAAAGGTTACTCAGCAATATAACGCACATATGTATTGTTAATTCAATGTGGATATCGGGTTTCTTTTTTCAAAGCTATTTTAAATCAAAACAATTATTTAAATATACAAATAAAACACAACATATATACCGTGACATAAATTTAAAAACTCCTAAGTACGCTTACAAAACAAATAATTTTTTAAAAATTTCCTACTGCATACCAACGTTGCATATTATTTGTATTTTGGAATTCTCCAACAGATGTCCCTCGTATCGTTCTAATTGATAGTAGAATCTGTCGAGGGAAAACTTTGCTTGTAAACATGTGTTCTAATCATTGCTGCGTCATGACTGACATACAAGATTTCTCTTTCGTCATTTGATTGAGAACTCCGGAGACTCGTTTATATTGAGATTCGAGCTGAATTTACGCTCATAGTCGCGACGGTGCTCTGCTACGCCGACACTCAAACTCTTACGTAATTTCTTTGTGCTGTTAAACGAGCGAACGCTCGATTGAGCTAACAATAAGCTGAAGTATTTTCCTAGTGTCAGTTTGAGGTTAAGAACGTGCAATTTTCAATATTCCATATTACTATACAAACATAGACGTTCCGAAATACAATAAATAAAGAAAAAGCAAAAGATACATAAATAAGAGACAAAGTTTTAAGTAAATACCGCATTAGCCGCATCGATAAATCTTTAAAGGCTTGGTAAGGATGCTCTAGAAACAGTTTGAAAGTTTTCGCCGAGCTGTCTGCGCATGCGCAATTCATCCCTTGCACTCGTCATTACGCGTTCACGTGGGCGCATTTATTTATATATAATATTTTGAATTAGCTGTGAGCTACCAGTGATACACGTCGGCGTGAACGTATTAAAGATAACGATGTGTATGGAAAAAATGGTAGTTTAATAAAAAAGTAGTATAAAATATCTGTCAATGAATGTCAAAAGCGTATGGGCGTTATACGATTTTTTCAAGCTTGCCCATCTCGATCATTGTTTCAATGAATTTTCGTAATTTTCATTATCTTGCGTGAAACGACAAAATCATTCTTACACATTCGCTTATCGCATAAAAGCAGTCTAATAGTTTATTGTATATTTACCAAGTCGGCAGTTGCTGCTTCTATAAACTTTTCAAATATACAAACAAAATTCGAATCAAGGAGAATCGTGTCTGCTTACAACTAGTGCAATGGATATCGTATGAATATATGTCATATGTGCATACATTTTATACCGTTCTATTACTACTTATTTTGTATTACATATCAAATAATTAATATTCATGTTTATGACGCGTCGTTCACTCTCAACATATGATGCAGTTTCGTGATGTCTTTTTCGTATTAACAGTCCATTAGTTTGCAGATTAATTATGGACGAACAATTTGGATTTGCCATCGACCGTGGCGGCACCTTTACTGACGTTTATGCGAGGTGTCCTGGCGGGAAGATTCGAGTCATGAAATTGTTATCAGTCGATCCTGCCAACTATGACGATGCGCCTCGAGAAGGAATTCGACGAATACTTGAAGAGGTCTGAATATAAATTATGGTATCGTTAATGATCATTTTAAATTGATTATCTGTTCTGATATAATATAACGCTTAAACACAAACAGTTGTGGCTACTATAGTACGAGTATCGTTATGTCCCTATTTACTTGTATGCAATATAGTGAAAACATAACCATGCTCATAGTACTGGCAGTGAATTTCTGAACATACCATTAGTTGACCTATATTTTAAGATTTAAATGATTGCGTAGTCATCAACGTCGCAATGTTAGATAGCTGCAGTTCTCACCACGTGCAATCATATGTTTTCTTATCTACATTAAGTAAATAGAGAATAACGATTTCTTGTATGTGATCCAGTTGAAAGTGTCGAGAGGAAATTTGTTGGGAAATAAGACGTTAATTTAGCAATATCTTATGAAATCATAGTAATTTTTTGTTTCGACGTCGCACGTGTATTTTGAAACTTGTAATACAAAAGATTGCTATATAAAAACTAGTAACGAGGCCATTTTATACTTGAAGCTGCATCTAGAAAAGTTACGACGGTTCGGAGATGCATCGACAGTGCAATAAAATCTAGAAAGATTACTCAAGGGTTTTTAGGTTAATGGTATATCTGTCTTTCTCGCACATACGTAAATACCTATTGGTTCGTCTCTCTCGCACTTCCGGCAAGCATAGGTGTCTATAAAACATGAAGAATAATGGCTTTACCTCGCGAGTTACCGAATATAAATTTATGAAAAGTGTTTTTAACACGTTGAATGATGGATATAAATTTTTTCTTCTGCTACGTTTACGTCGGAGTACAATTTTTGCTATTATATTCACATCTCGACTAAATATTACGTACTATGATTGAGTTAGACAAAACGATCACGTGTAAAACGTTTCTCTGACCATCGGTCATACGTGTCATTGTTTTTCTTGAGACTGCCCTAATAATTCTCACATGCGACTTTCCACTCAAAAAGCATCGGTCAGTCGAATGCAAGATTTTTTTTTAGAAAGATTCGAGTTTACGGGCTCAGGACTTAGGAAATTATGATCAGTCGAATTTTATACATTTTTTTTTCAAATTGGTAATACCGGATACCGACACGGTATTCAAAGTGTTAAAAGGTTGAATTTCTTTTTGTATAGTAGCTAAAAAAAATTTTGAAATATATGTTAAGGTAGATAACACTTCTATTCTTATCGTAGGTCGATAAGCATGTACTTATATTTGAAGATAACGAGCTATTCTTGCAAATCGAGCGTAATATTACTGTTTTGCATGATTTTGGGTTAAAGGAGAAGTCGAGATACATTTTTAAACTTGTAGGAAAAATTCCAAACGTATACAGTATCATTCCCATTTATTGAATGAGGGTCGTTATCATCATTTTGGTTATCGTCAGGAAACTGGTGAACGAACAAAGGACTATGTGGACACTTCAAGAATAGGATGGATCCGCATGGGCACTACGGTCGCCACGAATGCTCTGTTGGAAAGAAAAGGCGCCAAAATGGCATTGCTTATCAACGAGGGATTCAAGGATCTTTTATTCATTGGAAACCAGGCTAGACCCAATATATTCGATCTGGTGAGTATTCACTATCATTCTGATAAAATGGGTACCCATAAGAATACATTAAAATCATTAGAAACTAATATACTTTGTGGCCAGGAAGTGGTAACACCGGAAGTCCTTTATTCAAAAGTCGTTGAAGTGAAGTGCAGAGTGATACCAGCGCTTCCTGGACAATGTGAATTGGATAGTAAACAATGGCGACGGGTCAGAGGTTCTACAGGGGAGGATCTATTCGTGATCCAGGAACTTGACGAGGAGTCATTGATCAAAGATCTTGAAAAGCTCAAAATTCAAGGAATTCAAAGTTTAGCCGTTGTCCTTGCACATAGTTATACGTAAGTAGTGTAAAAAAGAATTTTTATGTAAATTCATAAGATATGACAGAGGATAATTTCTTCTTATCAGATACGCAGAGCAGGAGGTACGCGTTGGCGAATTAGCTAGGAATTTGGGTTTTACTCAAGTTTCATTGTCACACGAAGTTATGCCAATGACAAGAATCGTTCCTAGAGGTTTTACTGCCTCGGCAGATGCTTATTTGACACCCCATATTAAGAGTTATCTTCAGGTAATACAAAAGCGAAAAAAATTTATCAAATTATAGGACGATAGAAAAATAATATATATTAATTATTTATTTTAGGGATTTTCTTCGGGATTCAAAAACAATCTGGCGGGAGTTAACGTATTATTTATGCAGAGCGACGGTGGACTTACCCCCATGAATTCGTAAGTCCCTATATTACCTACTATATGATGATTCAGTATTTCCTACGAGGAATCGTAGATGTCAGTCTGATCTACCACTTCAGCTCTTTATTCCTAATAGATTCAATGGATCAAGAGCTATACTGTCCGGACCTGCTGGTGGTGTGGTTGGGTATGCTATGACAACTTACAACAAGGAAACAGAACTTCCGGTTATAGGATTTGACATGGGAGGAACTTCAACAGACGTAAGCCGTTATGCCGGTTATTACGAACACGTTTATGAAACCACTACGGCTGGCGTGACTATACAGGTTGCACAGGTGGGAATAAAAAAAAAATTCTTTGAATCAATTTTACAGTCGACTCTCTCATAGTTTAATTAATGATGAGACACGTGAGTTAAACAAAATACCAATTATATACTCGGAATGGCCGTGGCGGTTACCCCTCTCTTATGACTGTGATCAGTGACAATGTCCAGGTGAACGCACCGCCGGCCTTCCGTAAGCTAGGAGAATGTAAGATGTGAGAGGCTCTACTAAATGATCAATAATATAAAGTTTACATGTATCATTCAAGTTGGACGTGAACACAGTAGCTGCTGGGGGTGGCTCTATGCTTTTCTTCAGATCAGGATTATTTGAAGTGGGGCCAGAAAGTGCTGGTGCACATCCGGGTCCAGCATGTTATAAGAAAGGAGGTCCTTTGGCAGTGACAGACGCTAATTTGACCCTGGGCCGTTTACTTCCGGAATATTTTCCAAAAATCTTTGGTCCCAATGAAAACGAGCCACTCGACAAGCCACGAACCATTGAGGCTTTTGATATGCTTACCAAACAAGTAAGCACATATCTTTCACTCAACGTACGACTATCCAATTAAATATTGATTATTTAATATTTTTTTTTTTTCAGATAAATCATTTTTTATGTACCGAGGGTGGAAAATCATCCCATGAAAAGATGTCGGTCGAGGAAGTTGCTATGGGATTTATAAGGGTAGCTAACGAGACAATGTGTCGTCCGATTCGTGCTTTGACCCAAGTAAGTATCTACGTTAAGTCAATTAGCTGTTACTCGCACTTTTACGTTAATTAGTTCATTTAAAAATTAGGCCAAGGGTTACGATACTTCGCAACACGTGTTGGCATGCTTTGGAGGAGCTGGTGGACAGCACGCATGCGCCATTGCACGGTCACTGGGTATGGGTACGGTTTTCGTTCACAAATATGCTGGAATATTGTCAGCTTATGGAATGGCACTTGCTGACGTAGTGCAAGAAGCCCAGGAACCTAGTGCAGAAGTTTATGAAGAAGGTATAAGAATATGAAGGACAAGATTCTAAAATCAGATGAATTTTTTCAAATACGTTTGAAGTTATATTTATTATTATATCTTTTTACCATTTAGGGTCCTTTAGTCGACTGGACGAACGTTTGTCGATTCTTGAAGAAAAGGTTAAAGTTGAATTGACCCGTCAAGGATTTACAGAGTCACAGATACATACAGAATCATTTTTACATTTACGTTATTATGGAACTGATTGCGCTCTAATGTGCAGACCCAAAACTGGTGCGCAAGCTAAGAACGTAGGGCTCAAACATGGAGACTTTTTGACGACGTTCGTTGAGAGGTAATTTTGTCGTTATAAAGTCCATTGAAATATTTTTCATACTTCCTTTTTTAAGGTACCAAGTCGAATTTGGATTTACCATGCCGGAAAGACGTATTCTTGTTAATGATATTAGGGTACGAGGTATTGGTAAGACTGAAATTCCTGAAGATCCAGTTTTGGAATCATCGGATGAACTACCGAAATTCGAAAAAGTAAAGATTTATGACATTTCTTAATTTTACAGTAACAGTTATGACGTAAAAATTCAATGGGAATTTTAATATTATCAGATTACTTCAGTCTACTTCGAGGGTGGTTATCAAGATACTAAAGTCTACAAATTGGAATCGTTATCAGCAGGACACACGATAACGGGACCTGCAATTATCATGGACAGTCTCAGTACCTTATTGATAGAACCTGACTGTACTGCCGTGATAACTAGTAGAGGGGACGTCAAGATCACAATAGGTACAGGACTCAGGCCAAAGATCACTACGGAATTGGATGCAATCCAATTGAGCATCTTTTCTCATCGTTTTATGAGCATAGCAGAGCAGATGGGAAGGTAGTGTAAGATTGAAAAAGTTAAATCGTATGTGTTTAATCATAAACATAAATAATATTATTATTGATCTCGAAGAATACTTCAGAGAACGTCCATCTCCACGAACATCAAAGAACGTCTGGATTTCTCTTGCGCAGTTTTTGGACCGGATGGCGGTCTGGTCTCCAATGCACCCCATATACCAGTGCATTTAGGTGCAATGCAAGAAACAGTGCAGTTTCAAATGAAAGCATTTAAAGGTGAGTTCACACGAGGAGACGTGATCCTGGCAAATCATCCCTCAGCCGGTGGATCCCACTTGCCTGATCTAACAGTAATTACACCAGTATTTTATAAGTGAGTATATGAAATTTTCAAAAACACGAAAAATTTATGAAAACAGAAAAGAAAGTGATAATTCGTTACTTTTTTTTTCTCTCCAACCCAGAAATTTGGAGAAACCTGTATTTTTTGTCGCGAGTCGTGGACATCATGCAGACATAGGCGGAATTACGCCAGGCTCTATGCCGCCACATTCCACTATGCTGAATCAGGTAAACGAATGAGGGAGCCGTAGCGTTTAATTAAAAAAGTGCATTAACGTGATAAAAGCGACGCAGAGGTTTTATCTTAAATTTGTAGGAAGGCGCAGCTTTCAAGAGTTTCCTTCTGGTGCACAAAGGCATCTTCCGGGAGCAGGAATTGACGGAAGCTTTGATGGCTCCTGGGAAGATTCCAGGAAGTTCCGGCACCAGGAATCTAACGGATAATCTGAGTGATCTCAAGGCCCAGATAGCGGCTAACCATAAGGTCGGTTCACACTGATTTTAAACCAAACCAAATATCTTTCCTAACATACTCAGAATTAATCAATGACTATTAATCCAAATTCGATAAATTCCTTTCAGGGTAGCCAATTAGTTAATGAACTCATTGATATTTATGGACTGGACGTAGTTCAGGCCTATATGGGTCATATACAGCACAATGCGGAAGTGGCGGTTCGTGAAATGCTTAAGGTCGTAGGTCACAGGTTATTCAATGAAACTGGAACAACCAGTATAACTTCGGTAGATTACCTAGACGACGGGACTCCGATTAAAATGACACTTACCATAGATATAAACAAGGGCGAAGCTCTGTGCGACTTTACGTAAGTCCATACAATTTTTGTAATTTCATACCACTATCCAAATTTTTTAAATTTCTTTACTTCAGCGGAACCGGATACGAAGTCTGGGGTAACTGTAATGCACCAAGGGCAATCACGCTCTCAGCATTGATCTACTGTCTGAGGTGTATCGTAGGTCGAGACATTCCCCTGAACCAGGTATGCTATTACTTCTAAATTCATTGTTATCGCTTCCGCCAGGTCAGCAAAGGGCTGATTATCTGTCGCAGGGTTGCCTGAAACCAGTAAGGGTAATTATTCCAAAAGGATCGATCCTAGATCCGTCCGAGGAAGCTGCGGTAGTCGGTGGCAACGTGCTGACGTCGCAGAGAATCGTAGACGTCATCCTGACGGCTTTTGGCGCTTGTGCTGCGTCTCAGGGATGCATGAATAACGTCACATTAGGTACGGAGGAGTGGGGGTACTACGAGACAGTCGCAGGGGGTAGCGGAGCTGTGAGTATCACTAAATAAGGCAATAATAAAATTGATCCACCCTGTGAATTATTGTAATCTATGAAATTGAATTACACGACACGACTGCGAATACGCTAAAGGGATTACTTGGTTTTGAATAAATAATTTGAAAAAAAAACAGGGTCCTGGTTGGCATGGAAGGGGAGGCGTACACACGCATATGACAAACACACGAATCACCGATCCGGAAATTCTGGAATTACGTTATCCAGTAATTTTAAATAAATTCTCCCTGCGTGACGGAAGTGGTGGTGACGGGGCTTATCGTGGAGGCGACGGGGTGCAGCGTGAGATAACATTCAGGTATTTTAATAATCGCGCTTAAAAAAAGTGACGTAAAAAAAACAATATGTACCCTTATAATTTTCTCATGGCTTTTTAATATATCTCACGTCACAGGGCACCGATGATACTGTCCGTACTCACTGAACGAAGAGTGCACAGCCCGCCTGGTCTTTCTGGTGGTTTATCTGGTTCACGTGGTAGGAACACCCTAAAGAGGGCTGATGGTAGATTCATCAATTTGGGTCCAAAGACTGCGGTGCCCGTATATGCAGGAGTGAGTATGGTAGTCATGGTTTCCATACACGTGTTTTATAATATATCATCATTAAAGAGAGATTACCTGAGTATTGTAGAAATTTACTAACGCGTTATAGAAAAAGGTTTGTGATACAAGATTACATAACCTATAGTGTTGTGCTCGGGAATAGAGTAAGGGGTAAAAATACGTAAAAAGATTCGTCAGTTTTATGGGGGATCGTAAAGATTTTATCCCTGTGGATGTAACCTCGTAGACACGGCCCTTCGTAACACCCTGCATTACCTCAGAAACCTCTATCGAGAGTCGAGCCATCTTCCTCTGCTATCCTGGGCATACTGTCACGTTCTTATATATATTTTCTAGTATAAGGGTTAGAGATATATAGTAGGTAGATACAGGGATCCGCTATCGTGCTGCCATCTTTGATCGACTTTTTCTTGTTGCTTTTTTCATACAGTATATTGAATTCGCTTTGTCTTATCTCAGCTCTCAACTGCTTTGGTTTTGCATCATATTCTTCTTGGAGAACTGAACGAGATTCTGAAAAGAATTTTTATATGTATATTGGTGACTACAGATACATAAATATATCTGGGCTTCTCTGACTTCCGGTTATGATTGTATTATCTTACTTTATTGCCGGAAGGACTTCCTTTTTAAAGTTCAAACGAGTAGTAGTTGATTCAAAAATAGGGAGATGCTTTTTTAACACTTTTTTTTTGCTTCTCTTCTGCCTACAGGATACCTTCCTCCTGGAGAGTCCTGGTGGTGGTGGGTACGGTTCACCAGGTAGCAAGGCTTCGATTTTGGAGAAAAAGTCAAAAGCTTTCCTGGAACGTGGTAGCGTATACGAATACAGAAAAGCACAGGAGTCTGTATGAATATAGTTTTTTGGAATAGAAAAAGAAAAATTGTTACAATTTTGAAATATCTACGTATTGGTGTATGTATCTGTATATTTTAATTGAGAGAAAAAATTATTGTGAATTTTAAGAGATTTGATTTTGGCATTGTTGATAATAATATTTTATAATATTTTACGTCAGCTGACAGTCTGATATTGGCAATCGATTTTGTCATGGCTGCTGCCTATATATATTATATGGTGTATAGTATTGTTAATTCTATATGTATATTTAGAAAGACTTGTGGTGGGAATAAATATCGTTAATTGGATACCGATGAATCCGATGAGCATGATCAGCAGAAATTTAGTAAAACTGAAATTTTGCACGTCACAGCGAAAACCAGGGAATTTGATTGGGAAGGTTGCTTTGCCGCTTCCCTGGAGGTTATTATTAATTTTGATAATCGATCATAGTCAATCGCTCCTAAATTAAATGACGCCTGGTTAATACGCCAAATTTGTCGAACGTCCCATTTGCGTCAGGTGCAAGATGGCCGCCGTTTCATTTCCGGTTTCAGTAATTACCATTACCGAAGTGAAACTCATTACCGAATGACCTACATGCATTCATCTTTTGATTGCATACAACTAATAACATCCTTGAACACTGTAGAATTTCCATAATATCAAAATTAGTCCTGAAATAATCCTTTGATAAAATGCAATAATTAAAAATTGTGAAAAAGACTATATTTAGTATATTTTGTGACGTGATTTTTCGAATCACGGTCCCAAGGCGGCTCCGGTTACCGATACAGATAACGTTCTCGATTTCTGGTCCCCTTCGGGTCGCCACCCTGCTCAGAAGCTACGCTCTCGGGTTGATTCGTATAGTTATGTCAAGGCTCTCGTAAGATTTCGTTATTGTTTAGTTGAGGTCGAGATGCTCGAATCTGCCGTGGGGAGATAGTCTCGACGTACCGAGTTGCCCGGCAGAGGAGAGTACCCGACGGAGACGTCTCCACGGACCGGCAGAAGCCCGGCTGAGATACCGGCGCCCCGCTGGAGATGGGCAAAGGGCTGTAGTGCGGGCGGAGGGAGTTTTGATACGGTTAAGGGCAGGAGAGGAACCTCCTGCCCGAGTTAAGGACGTGGTGCCCGGCTGTCGCCCGATGCCCTGGGGAAGCGGCCGTCTTACTCCGACCCTCTCTACCTCAAACCTAGCAGCCTGAGCGGCCGTGCATTTCCGTAACCGTCCGCTCCCGTTCGTGTATCCAGTTGCGTTTGCTGATTTTACGCGACCCCAAAGATCAGCACCTACGGTTGCGTTTCTCGATTTTACGCGTCCCCAAAAATCGACAGGATCCGTTAAGCTATCGCCTCGTCCGATAGGTTCCGTCAGAGCTCTCGTTCTTGGTGGAGTTGTGCCTGTTCCACCCCAACTCCCAGTTTATACCGGCTCGTCAGTTCCCGGTGAAGAAAGAATTGACTGGCGCCCGCCTGGCTTGCGGATGCACGAACGACGGGTGGACGGCCGAAGGTAACGTAGGTTGGTTCTCGAAGATAGTCGTTCTCGTATGTTTTGCTATCGGTGTCGGGTCATAAGTTAAAGAATTACGTTACAATTTTCAGTTTTACAGCATAATCGTTCTTTTCTCGCTCTTTTTAATATTCTCTATGAAATCCTGTCTTTTTCTGAGAAATAAAGGTGCAAAATAAATGTGGCAGCTGGAACGAAAAATATAATAAATATTCTTGATAGAGGATTTAATATACTTACTGAATTAAATATATATATAGATATAATGTATAATATTATACTGTACTGTTGTATGGTATAATTGATAATACATGTATCAAAGTCAGCCAAAGGATTAGAAACTTTTGTGAGGGGTGATTAATCCTTTATCCTTCGCCTCTGAAACGCTGTGGAATCGCATTAAGATTCAACTAGCGCATTAAGGTTCGTTCACAATTAGCCTGCTGAATGAACGGCTAATTCGATTGGAAAGGATACGTGAGCTGGATCGAAGGATCTTCAAATCCTCACCATTATCCTGACTTTGAAATACCATTGAGTATAAAGATTTCCGACAGAACTGATGAATTTCCTGAAATTTCAGAGTGCAATTACAAAATTATATATAAATTAAAAATTCAACTATGTAAGTAAATTTTTTTTTCTTTTTACTATTAACCCCAGTGGGTTCTTTAACTGGTTTCCTTCTTTTCTCTTGAGACTTTTTTTGTACTGTCATCAGTTTTTAAGGATCTCTTCCTTTCCCTACCCCCCAACCACATCTCCTATGATATCGCTACGTTCCATATGGGATACCGCTTTCAGAGAGCGACATAACTCGAAACGGTCTTAATCTACGCTGAAGGACCCGCCACATTTTTATGATCCTTTTACTGCGACCCCATGGCCGCGAATATGACGAATTTTTCCATCACCCTGGCTAATGTCCACACTTTTTGATTCTCTCCCGTCCCGTCTGCCCCCTTTACTTTGCCGTAGTATCTTTTTTCCATTCTGTCTTTTTCGGAAAAGGTCGACAACCCAATCAGACTTTATAGACGCTTTACGAGCGATTAGGGGACGGGCTAGAGTCCATGATTAAAATCGTCCAATAGATGATTCACTAGTGGTTCTAATTGGTCGCTTTTACAGGGACTTTCAGAATGGCCGATCATGCTCATTAATTGAATCGCAATTTAATTCAAACACAATTCGCCAGCAGACACAATGGCGATTCAGCGCGCTTTTCAAAGTAATAAAAGTAATGAAATATTTTTCCCCGAAGAAACGACACGAGCTTCATCCGTAAAGCTCAGTGGACTATAACTGAATTTCTCTAAAAAAAACGATTCCAACGTGGTCGCAAAAGGGTCAAAGCTGTTTCAAGGGGTTCCAATCGAATCCGAAATAAATGTCAAGAGCCCAGGGGATGTTTACGTCCGTGAGGGATGTACGAGAAGGGTTGTTCGACTATCACGAGCAAGGATCAAGGGAGGCCGAAGGTTTTTTACGTTAAGGGAAAAACGGTCGAGATTGCTGAAAAAAAGTGAAGGGTTCAAAGGTGAAAAAAAAATTCAGGAAAAATTAAAAGCACGTGGCGCACGAATTGACAATTCCATATGCACGGTATACGACAGACTTCAGTGAAAGATTAAAAATCTTATCAAAGTTGATAACAAAAAAATTACCTATAGGTATACAAAACGCTTATCTTTAATACCAAAAGCGTCTGTGCACTTAAAGCGACCCAAAAACCAAATCTTAAGGAAACTCAAAAAAACTTTGAAACCTCTCTTGCGTCCCATTACAAGACAATGCTTACTTCACGGCCAATTAAACCTAGTGTAAAGGAATGCTCCATATATTCGCACTACGCTACCATTTTACTTAATGTTCAGTAAACACTTTTTCGCCAAAAGGTTACTATGCACTGGTTGACATAAAAGTTTCAGTACCATACGTAGCTACAATTATCGATGTAATTACAATATAAAATTGGAACAACAGGTGTAAAATTATTTTATCTCAAAAAGTCGAGAATCCACTGTTCCTTCACCTATCGGTACCATACATAGCTATATATGTGAATATAATTATTATAAAAAAGATTAATTAACACGTGTGACGTCATACTATATATATGATTTCAAATACCAGATAGTATTAGCTGCATGGCTAGTTGCAACGTTCCTCTACTAGAACTGTGCATACAGACAGCAGTAGATTAGCCGGGTTACAGAGACGAGACGAACACATCCGATCTTGGCCGAAAGGAATTGCTTAAGTAGAATTATGTATGTAGACACAGTGATGGAGGGGTGCGCAACCCTTTACAGAACAGTAAAGTAAGCAAATTTCTGTTTACATTCCTCGCGAGGACTCCCAACCGCACTGTACGGGATTTCTGATTTCGCGTGTTCCTAAATAAACCCAGGAAGCCGATAGGACCTTTAACAACGGCTAGAACACATCCGGGGACAATAGTCGAGGGGGTGGAGTTCCGGTGCGATCGATTTTCCAAAGAAGCGCAAGATACGCTTGCTCGATAGGGGACGAAGAACCATCCCTGTTGCAAAAGACTTTTCCACGGTGTTCACGATGTTCCTGAAATTCTTCAGAGAGGAATGGAAGACGTTCCGGTGGAAGTTCTCGATGTACTCATCCGGTGGTGGCTTTGTATATCCCCGTCCAAACTTCAAGCCATCCGTTCGGTCGCGGATAGGAGAAATCGTGAGGTCCGACATAAGGGTAGCGAAAATCTATTGTCCTGAGAAGAGAGTGAAGGAGAAAATGCCATTTGCATTCGGACTGAAAATAACACTTAGGAATTGTATGTTTCCTATCTTATATTCTACATACTGTATGGATATGTAAGTAGTACGTGGATTACATATCCCATTTCTATTTAGCACTATATATAATCTAAGGGTTATTCAGGAGTATTGCAAAACCCTGAGGCGATTCTACCGTGCGGATAAAATGAATGGGCTAATTTCAGGTCCATCTGTGTATGAGTGTATTCGGGTACAGAGATGGAACATGAATTTTTATTTCTCACAGGCATATTTGAATCTTCATGGTTAAAGGTACTTCCGACGGTACCACCCTTACCTTAACGTATCCCTGGTAAAATTATTCCCCAGGGATACCTTCTCTCCATGTGAAAAGCCTTCGCGACTCTGGAACATTCGCAGTCCGATTAAAGTCTTTCGGACGATTATTAAAGTCCCTAGAAAGAATTCTCATGCTGCAGTTCCATCTGTCATAAATCCCTAGGGACTTTCCTTGGGACAACTAAATTTCGCGTCTCTGTCATTCGGTTCCTTTACGTTCAGTGGGCTGACGCCCTACGATTTTAAATAGAACCCCTGAAGCTATCGCACGATATGAAATTCGTGTGAAGGTAAAAATTTTAAGTTTTTCCTTTATCAGGGAAACTTTTATCGGTGCACAGTGGTGGGTACGATGCTTCTTCAATGGAGAGTCGGAGCCTTGATAGAAGAGATAAAAGAGAAGGAGCGATGAGTGATTTTCTCTAAAATTTTTTTTGACGAATCGAACAAAGTTGGTCGTGTAAAAAAAAATATAAAAACAGCGTAAAATATGATACACTGTTAATTCCATCTCATTTGTTTATCTTATCAAGCGGAGAGTCGTCATTTCCTAAATTTACGAAAAATATCAGAAATCGAAAGATAAAGCTGGATATTCCCCGGCAGAATGTCTCTGATACGCGGCGGTCGGTATCTTATTAATAAATTCAAATGGAATTCAAGGAACATGGCGAACGCCGAAGCAACTAGGCACGAGAAGAGTTTTCTTGAAACGTTAAGAAGAATAGCGTTCAATACCTCAGGTTATAATCGCTATGGACTTTATTCGGATGACGTGATCAACGAAAACATGCCAATGGTGAAAACGGCCTTGAGTCGGTTACCAGCAGATATAAGGGACGCGAGATCCTACAGGTAGGTATAAATATGAAATTTTCGATTAATTCGTTAAAGATAAAAATCAATTAATTAAATATTAATTATTTAGAATAATACGGGCGATGCATTTGGATACTTTCAAAATTTTTCTACCCGAAGAAAAATGGATCACGTATGAGCAAGATAGGGCGTATCGATATCTAAGACCTTATCTCGAAGAAGCGATAGCCGAGAAAGAAGAGATGCATAACTTTGGCTGTGTCAACTATGAACAGGAATAATGATCGAAAGCTTAAGCTTGTAACGTATTTTTGTCACGTGTGAATATACCTTTACACGTGTATACTTATGTACCTGCATTACTTTCGTTCAGTTGGAATAAATGCCAAGATCGAAGTACCTATTTTTGTATGCTAAAGGATACATGTAAATCCTACGTAAAGGGATGTCGGATACGTCTGACTGAGCAGAGTATCACCTATTTTTTTCCAGTAAAACTATATAGAATTCTACGGCACGTGAAAACGAATATGATAAATAAAAAAAAAATTTCTGTCGCTCGATTGAAAATTACCCAAATTTTTTTTGCTTCGTGCGTACTCGTTACATATATTTTACGTGTGTACATAGAAATGCATATATTACGTATTAAATATATACAGCGCTGAGTAAGTACTTCTGTAATAGGACTACTAGTAATAGGACGGATCGTCTTTGACGATCGATAAAGATAATTGAAGGGGTCCTACAGGGAGTTTCAATTTTGAGATACTAATTGAATAGCTCTCGTATTGTTGCATAAAAAGTTCGGATTTTTCGAGAAGCAACGTACCCATATGTACACAGTGTTTCACAAATAAATTATAATATCACTGATACGAAAAATCCTAAAAAGAAAATTGTATACTTTTTTCAAAAATAATCCAACCTCATTCATCCTCTCTCTACAGTGAATTATAATAGCGAACAGTCGTGTGTCTGTTTAAATACGAAAATACAGCGATATTTTGATTTCGCAAAATTAGTTAATCGATTCATCGGTCACGATCGAATAACCAATTTTAATCAATCTGTAGCAGTAGAAACCGAAATTAATAACGAAAATTTATTAACGAGTCTCGCCGTAGGAATATCAACTCCAGTACTGAATGAGCGATTCAATTATGCAAACTTGTATCGGTATTGATATTGATCCCTGAAGCTATGGTTAGGTTACGTTACACATATCAACTGTAAAAGGTAATACAATGCACTGTGCATAGTATAATTTAATTGCAGGTATTTAATTGCAGTTTATTGAATTAAAACGAAATGACCAAGTGATTCGAATACCTTAGGTATACTGTATATGTATATCTACTTTTAGACTTGTATATTCAGAATTAGCAGTCTAGTCTTGAAACTATGACTCTAGGCGTCCCACCTACCCCTGTACCCAGTATAAGTATGGTGGCAGGCAGGCAACTACCCAGGTACACCTTTAGCAAGAAATTCAACTCTGCATTATATTTCCAGCGTGTAATTAACCGTCGCGTAAATTGCAAAACGGCTCGTGTGTCAGCTGCTAGTAATTTGTGTGTTCCGTGTAAATAGGTTGGGGCTAGGTAACACGTAGAGACGAGTGTCGCTCATGCCGAACCCTTAATTGAGCATGCGGCTTGCGTAGTTTGCAGACGTTTAACGTCTTTAACGAATCGTTGACGTGTCGAGTTACTATTTTATTTATGAAAAAATGTAAAACAGCGAATTTTTTTGAAAATTTTAATTAGCTGTCTTTTCTATGATAAATTTTTTTGTTACTAAGCGTGAGGTGCTTGTCTCTTGGAAATAATGAGAGTTACGCGATTTATTGGGTAATTTCGAGTTTGGTCAATTAATAATAATTTGGTGATTTAGGGTGGGAAATTTTTACGATACCACAGTGCAGTGCGTTATATGTTATACGAGGGTAAGAAATTTTTCATAATTTCAGTAGGACACGACTAATTTATATTAGAGCGACTAGTAATTTTCAGGTGTGAAATTATATGGTAATATAATTAAAGGTTTATATTAATTATTCAGATAGGTTTTTTCGAACTTCTCCGATGATTATCAAATTAATTCAATTAATTGAATTTTCATCGAATCGATTGGTTCGAACGATTTTGTTGTATATGAAAAATTTTTAAAATTGGAAGTCACAATTGTCACCGTGACTTTACGAAAGTATTATAAGATTTGGATCGGGTGTAAATTCCCTTCCGCAGCAAGACACCCCGAAATTTACATGAAAATGCGAGAAAAAAAAATAAAGTAAAAGGGAAGTTTGAATATCAAAATTCGTGTATCGCTTTTCCGTTGCGTTAAGAATAAGATAGTGAGAACGTGGAAGAGTATACAGCCCCTCGTTAGTAAAATCCCAAAATACTTCCCCTGAAAGGAAATGCTAATTTTGCCGGAGTGGCAGTGGAGGAAACATCAATTCCGTGCCGGGAAAAGAATTCGCAATTCCGGGGGATTCCCCTGTTTCCATAAGTTCACGTAGTACCAGGTCCGATGTTAGTACGACATCACCTTAACTGCTGTACTTACTTATTACAGGCGCGGTAACTTTCTTGTAGCTTCTTCTTACAACTAGATCTCATAAGACATTCTCAATGGCTTTCGGCTCCAGTCGCCTTTTGCCTCTGGACGTCAATAGTTTACCCGTGAAGGTCCGCCTTAATATTCCGCCGACGGAACGCGGCTGTGTTTCAAGCGAGCGCCACGAGTGTTTGCATAAAAATCTACTGCGGAAGCGTCGTTCGATTTCACGTTTAAGCTTTCTCTTGAAATATCGCTCAATCCTTAGGAGCCTTGAGTGCGCCAAGAGGTCAGTCGTAAAACGTGATCGTGTGAGTTTTAGGTTAGGTCGAGGAAGAAGGTTAAAGGTCTACGAGTAAAAAAAAAGTGATCATGAATGAATTTTCAGAAAGTACCAAAAATTTTGTAATAACCGACATTTTGCTGCGAACGACCAAGACAATTGTTTTTCAGGTAAAACTACACGGAGATTGGACCGTTTATTTTGACAGTGGTGTAAGTCCATTTGCAGCCCGTAAGTATACAGCAGTTCAGTAAAATACGCCTAAAACAAATTCATATAACCAAATTACTTACATATTGATAAAACAGTAGAAACATTGCCAGACTTCGTATAATTTGCCTAAATATTTTAATTAACAGATACGTTAACATTTAATTTTCTCGAAACATGAGAAAATGGACTTGCACCACTTGCAAAATGAACGGTCCAATTTTTCCTGATATTCACGAAACCATTTAACGTAGAAAACAGTAATCGTGGGACACCCGTTATTATTTCATTACCTATAGCTTATAACGCATGATATTTTCAGTGGCTACGAGTAAATTTGATATTGTAAACGGTAAATTTGCAATATTCACTGCGTTCCACGGTAAAATTTATTGATATTTCCACGCCATTGGAAAACGTAACGTTTTTTCGTAACTTGATACCGATAGTGGGGAGGACTGATCCTAACCGGGTAATTTTCAATAATGGCGATTTAATTTCGTTATAAATAAATACAAAGTGCAAAGTTCGGAAAAGGGTTAAATCAAGTCTCGGAGATCGTTCGGCCATAAGTCGAAGGAACCGAAGTAACAGTTAAAAGGGTTTGGAAGTTACTTGGTGATCATACTCAATAATAAAAATTCCGAGAGAGCTCAGGGCTGTTTTGCATTTCAAAAAATACTTCTCCCTGCTTTCAGTAAATTGCAATAAAATTTTGGAAACATTCTCCTTCAATATTGTCGAGCGAAACTTTATTTTCGGTGAAATAGTTGCGGACTTAAGATTTACTTTTTATAATGTAGCCAACTGATTCGCTTCTATGATTCTTCGTTTCACTCGATTATGATGATAAGAGAGCACAGTGATAGCGCGCAGTGACGTAGGCAGCACAGTACGTCATCAAAGTGCACTTGTGCAAATTGATCGGTGAGCCCAACACGTGAATTCCTTGGGCTGATTGGCGTCGCGCGAGGGCAAACTTTGCCGCTGGTAGGACAGGGACGGAGGCATTCATTTGAATAAATAGATTTTGGGTGCGAAGGGTTCTTCGTGTGGGTCGCTTGTATTCGCAGCCCTTTAAAACCCTTGCGCGGGATACGCCGAGTTTCCTGATATTTTAGGAAACGAGAGCTCCCCTTACTCTTTGTTTTAGCGTACGAAACTTTATCTCAAATTTCACCGCCCCTCCGCCCCTCATGCGAAATACTATTGGCTTTCCAATTTTATAGGGTGCGAATCTTGCTACCCTTGAAATTTTATCCGATTCTTCCATATTCAAGCAGCCACGTCTTTTTCCGTTTAAATAAATATTTTTCATGTAACCTTTTTATCTTTCCATACAGGTACTACTGTTACCTACCCCTTTTAACGTGGTAGTTTTAATGCTATTAATTTATCGACCCTCGCGTCGAGCAACCCCTTGAGATTCGTTGATTCGAATCAACACACCCTTGTTGGTTATCTAATTAAACAAACCCCTCGTTTTAATATCTCTGTGGATTTGTCGGGGGGCTATTTCCGTTTCCGATAGGAAGCTACCACGTTTGTGCTAATTAAATGCTTTGGACCTTCACAATATTTGGCCATTCGACCCTGGGCATTCGAAATTATGTAAAATTACAAATCCAAAGCATCTTTTGAAAATGACAACCAGAAGCCACAGCGATGGCCGATTCAATCGATAATCGGAAAATCGTCGAATGCCAGAGGGACGAAGTTTGCGCCGGATATTGGAAATCGTCTCTCCGTTACTTCCGGTTCTCTGTTATGTAAACCGCACACCTAAAGCCCACTGCATACGTTCCGAGAGTCCCCGCATAGAGACACTTTTTTTCTTCATTTTTGTATCATTTTTTCAGGGACAACAGTAAAAACATTAGTTGCAAATAAACAGTGTAAAATTTATATAAATTCAACTATTTTTCATCACTTTTCACTGTCTCAAGTGAACGCATGTTATTTTAACGATATCGACTGTTTCATATCTTTTATACGATTCCCACAAATTTCACTATCTTTCGTTTACATAGGCACGGTATGAAACGGAATTCTTCCATGTCTCCTCTAAACAGTTTTCTACATTATTTTAATAAAAAAAAAAGTTTCCGAAACTTTCGACATCCCCCGCTGTGTCAGAAGGGTGTTCGACGCGTTATCTCCCTAATTTACTACTCACTCGGAGAGACAAACCCTTTACGTGGATTTTCGGAAATCCTGAGGATTCGAATACGAGTCTGTCCTCACAATAGACACAAGGGCGCCAACACTTCTCCCTACCCCTGTCCCTTCACGCGCTTTAGCCTCACCCTGACACCACAAAAACACCCTTAGAAGTATCTCTAATAAAAAAAACTTTAAGCCAGATTTACCAGAATATCCCAAAAATTCCAAAAAGTCGACCCACTGTAATTTTTCAATATTACCAATCAACTCGCTCAACAATCAATACCACGTCAAAATCAATATAATTAATCATTAAACTTTGTAGCGTAGACATCCTTTCAATATCTTCATCAAAGCACCCCGCTGCTACATAGGGATGAGAAAGAGGAAGAAAGTGAGATAGATAGGCGTCCGGAGAAAACTTTCGACTTTCTTCATTTAGAATTAATTCGTCCCGGATGAAATTAGCATTTATATGATCCTCGGCTGTATAATGTTTTTAATCCACTTTCTGGTAAATACCCCTCCTCCCTCTTGCTACACCCCCCGGTCTATAACAATTTTCTCTACTGCTACGTAAAGGACGATTTCTATTTTTTTCTTAACCTTTCAAAAAGTACGGCTAAGAATAGGAAAGTTATGCCAAGTACACATGTAAAATATATTTATGTTATACGATCCAAAGTGCAGTAGAAAATTTTCCGACCGGAAATCTGCTGGAGAGTAGCAGTACGCGGTGAACACGACTTCGCGAGTATGTTATCAAAAGATATTTGCGGTTCTCGTAGCGACTGCAAGCCCTCGGTAGTTTTCCATTCGAATAATCAAAACGGAAATTGGGTAGGTAGCCCAGCCAGTTGCACCGGTATTTAACGTAAAGCACGTACGCAAACAGGAGCAACAGTCCTGTGATGGCTGAAGCGCCAAGGATATGGTATGTATGCAAATGTCTGTGATTTAACGGGCTTTCATATGTGTATATATATATGACATGTCTTACCGTTGTGTTCATCCGTTTCGATGCATATGTTATTGGATATACATGGAAATGCACCGAGTGGTCATTTGGGAGGAAAATCACTGCGTTGCCGTAACCTGGTACGTAGAACAATATTCAATGTTCTTATCAGAGTGAAGCTAGTCGTTAGTCGCGTTTACTTTTTGTATAATATACTCAGTGGTTAGTTCTGTGAGATACCTGTTAAAATATATTGTCCATAGATGCTAGAAGGTAATCATCGACTCCGCTCTTGCCATTTCGGGGCGAAATGTGACTTTTCGCATTTTCTTTTTGGTTCTTTTTCACGGAGTGGGAAAGGCGAGAAAGGCAACCCTTGCGATAGCCAACTAGGCTGGTAGAGTTGCTTGAATGTAGACACCTGCAAAGTAAGGGAGAGAGGGTGAGTTTCCCATTTTCCAGAAGAAACAGGCTGGGAATTGCTGACGATTTTTCATGGTAGGGTTCTCTCTGGAAAAGGTACGTGGGTGACCGGATGAGGTGGGACGAAGATGGTGGTATATAGAGAAAGAGATTCAGGGTAGGGGATGTAAAAGCCACGAGGAGGAAATAACGTGAAAGGCGATGGCGAGACAAGGGTTGCTCTACGGGAAGAAGACCGGTAAATGTTACAGGGCAGGAATCTGACTTAACGGTTAACCTTGATTTTCACCTTTTTTTTCCCTCATCTCTACTTACCCCCATTTCCTCGGCCCCTTTAAGTGGCTAAACTTTTCCATTGTAGCTTGGCACGAACTCGGCCTGCCCTCGTGCCATTTTCAATTATCGCCTTGTGCTTCATCTCTTTTTTTCTTTCATGGTCTGTTATCATCTCGCTCTCTCGTTCTCTTCTTAATTCTCTTATCTTTTTGTTATGCACGAGCATAAACGCACATTTTTGCCAAGTTTTTTTTTTTTGGCGAATGAAATGCGCTCTCTTTTATCATTAACTTTTTTTTCCAGTCCACCTTTTTCTTCTCGTTTTATTCGTCGACAGAACCAAGATTCCGGAATAATTAACTGGAACGCAATTCGGATTTGCTCTTTTATTGGTTCGTCTATAAGGAAAGCAAGGGAAATGTATGGGAAAGTCGAGAAGTTCTTATGAGTTAACATGGTCTCTTGAAGAATATTATAAGAATAATGTATAAAGAATTTTATAATATTAATTAAGCCGGATCTTCATTTTCTTCAGGATTCATAACTAGTTATCAGCATCCTTATTAACATCTAATGCACTCTCTCTCTCTCTCTCTCTGTGTTATCTCTTTCTACTCTCTTTCTGTGTTATCACGAAACTACTCCATTTGCCCATGGAATTCGAGTTGCGAGATATCCGGACGTTTATATACGTCTGCTAACGAATGTTTAATTTACAGAGAGAAAAAAATAAAAAAATAATTTGTCGTATACAGAGGTTATGAATTAACTAAAAAATTTCAATCTATGGATAAAATATCAGTAGCAAGATTTTGAAAGCTTGTTTCAACTATTGCGTTTATCATTGTCATAACCATCATAATTATCGACAACTCGTACGTATAAACTATTGTAACGCACGTAAGCCAACGAGAATTCGGGCTGAGCTCGAAACTACCATAATTTTCGGGTCTAATTAGCATCGTTAACGGTCATTAATCTCGTTGAGCTTCGCGACACTTGTCAGAGTTTAGCAGTTGCACAATACTTGTACCTAAACGAACTGACAGCTGAGACTGTAGATATACGAGAAGAAACTAGAAATATCAAGCGCAGGAATTCAATTATTCGGATCATTTATTAAAGTTTCGTATCACCCTTTGAATACTGTAATTGCTCATACAATTAATCGATATAATTATTAAAAATTTCCAAAATGAGCTTGTTGCCAATTTAACCGATTTTTATTAACATTATGCATTTCGCGTAGCTGTCATTACTACGGTATAGAAATTCATTGAATATTTTCATCTACGTCTCTCTTAGTATTTAAATAATTCTATATAACTATGCAGGAATTGCACTGCATTGGATATTCAAAGCGACCAGTTATTCTCACAAACTCATGCAAATTGTTGTGAAATCATCGTTCAGGCGCATCATTCTAATGTGCATTCAGCAAAGTGCATCGAGTCTACCACTTGCGCTGTACTAAACTGCATTCAGCGCTATACGTGCAGTATACAGGCTTATAGTCGGATTTCTGATATCAAAAAAAGATTGTAACTGGATTCAATAGAATTTCATTAAGTTCGAATGACAGATATAAAAAGTTTAACGCGTAAACAATGAAATTATCATAGCTTTGATGTCCCTAATAGTCCTTTAAAATGTCTCGTTTGAATTTTCATCTCCCTGAACTCTCATTTTTGAATGCAAACGAATTCGCGCCCTTGCGGTAAATTCAGCAGTCGGAGCAGCCCGGATGACGAGAGAGTGAAATTTTTAGGGCGAACACGAAAACAGCCGACTGCTAAACTGAGCTTGTTGGTGGGCAGAGTATATTCCTAGCGACCCTCTGCAGCATCCCGTTTGGATTACCATAGATATTGTTGCCCTGGACTTGCACTGAAACAGCCAATGAATAGACAGATCGGTACAGGGTTTACTATAAAGATGGCGGCAGAATGAAAAATGTACTTCCTTCAGGATTTTATCCTAGAGCCCCGGAATCCTGCCTATGGGAAAGCAGGACATCGTAGAGTAACATTTGCATATTATTTCGATCATTCTTACTCTCTGTGAACCAGCGCTGTCAGCCCTCCGATTCACTGAGAATTACCCCCAGCGTCCAGCGATACGGACTCACCCTTATCCACTTTGCCATTGAGACATTCTTAATATCCTTTTCATTCGCCGGCCAATCCTCTTTATAATTTATCTAGTCAGTCAGTCGGCTTTTACGTGTTTTGTCAAAAATTATATTTCTTTGCGATAACTCTCTTGCGTAAAATTCATGTATATTTGCTTGCGTTTATTTGACTTGAAGCGTCCAAGAGATGTCAACGTAATGCAATGCAAATAAATTATAAAGGTATATGTACAGGAACGGGCTGAGGCTGAAAATGAAAATTTGACATTTGCATTAGCTTTATACTTAATTTTTATTTGATTACATTTAATCATGTTATTTTTTCAACTTACGCCTGGTCAGTGATTTTTAAAGTGGATATTTGATTTCTATGTCTGAGCTGCAATGTCTTTCTAGGTTGAGAACCATTTGAAGCCTCTTAGCATTACAGAGTTTTCATTGGGATGCAATCCTGCACTTTGCAGCTCCTTTCTTCCCCCGTGATTCCCTTCAGCAACCGCAGCAAACCTAGCAGACAAGCATCAAGGCTTACAATCCTATAATGCAAAATGTCTACCAAGTTGCCGAGGCAGCCATTACTGCATATCCTCCTGACGATCATCCTGGAGATTTGGAATTTCCGCTAGTGGTGCATTACTAAGAAAATGTTGAACCAATACGAAAAGCCGCATATACCTAAAAGTGAATAAATATATATTTAAATTAAAACTCAGAGATTAAAAAGAGAAAATTCTTTTTATACTCATTTTGCAATATCAATGCCTATACTCGTCATTCAAAATATCCAAAGTAGTAAATTGAGCTAATTTGACATTGTGATATCTTACGAAATCCTATTTTTCACCATAAAATAAATACCTCTCCGTATTCATTGTCAGCCGATTAATTGCACTGGAACTTCAATCTAATCGGGATTCATTCTCACAGAACGGGTATCACATACGTGTACAGATACACGATACAGTATACGGATATACTGTGAAAGTCAAATAGAGCGTGAAACACCCTGTAGATATATAGTCGAACACATTAGCGTTCCCAAATAAACGTGGCGAACGTGCAAGAGAAGCAGGAAGTTTCGCAATGTTCAAGGAATCGCGCGCTCCGACGAATCTTCGTTATACCGTGGATATTCAAAATGCCGAACTACCCCTAAAGCTTGAGAGACTCATCCCCCAAATTGCACTCTTGACATTGCAGGGTTCTCGGCGAGCGTCGCCATTTCGGTGTAAGCTACGTGAGACTTCAGATAGTTTCCCATAAATAGACAGAGCAAAATCTACAGGGGATGATTGAACCCTTCGTTACGATAAAATAGCAAAGTTGTGGTACAAGATAATCCTCGACTTCGAAGAGAACGGAAATATTTTAACGTCGTGACACTCCGTTAAATGAGCATCCATACTACAGTAATCGCACTAAGGAATTTCTTTCACTCCCTTACGTACAATAAACGTTTATACCGTGGATGCAAGTGCATACCTACTACCACTGGACTTTACAACCCTTAGAAAATTCAGAGACTGCACCCTGCATTCTTAAACATCATTTAAGAACTTTACTGCCGTTTTATCGATTAACTTTTTAAGAAGCATACAAGCTACCAACTACACTGCATATACATACATTTATTCACTAGGGGATGCAAAGGGTTGAAAATAACATTTAAAAAAATCAATTATAAAAAGTTTTCTCGATTTGCAAAATGTTCATAAAAAATATATCCCACCCTCATCCGATACTCCACTCTTTTGAGCATCAGAGCTCACATTGATTTGGAATCCAATTTCAATCGGAGCACATGATAACCAGTCAGTTTTGGTACGTGCAGCTTCCATAGACTACTAGGTACAATAAGAGAGAAGATCGCAGCAGTCCTTCCAGCCTTAAGGGTCCCAAGGGTGAGAACTACCCTTACGAAAACCTCTGGCTAATTTATACAGGTCAGACGCTGAATCGAGTGCACTCGGCAAGATTGGACGGTAGGAAGTGATGTTAATGTTACGTAATGCTGACTTATGTTATGTTATGTCGTCAATGCTCTGCCTATGTTTCCGTCTTATTCAGCCGAGAGTCGCTACCGGTTGTTTAGTTATGTTCTGGCGTATAACGTAAATTTATATCTTCCTATGAGTTCCGACAGTAGAGTCGCAGAGGGGTGGCGTATTATAACCCGAGCCCACGGCGTAGCGTATCGCTTTTCCTTCAGGAATTACTTCGACGGCCATTAACGTTCAGTAGTTTATCTACGGCCCTCAATCGTACCAGGGGCTTTACTAGGGAAACTCTGGAAAATTATTTGCCAGCGTTACTTCCAAGCGCATCAACGTTTCCTCGAGTATCGCTGCATGGAGGATTTATATATTTACGTATACACTGTAAACGAGAACCCACGAACCAAAGACGTATAACCAAAATTTTCATCATAATTCGTATTCGCTGAGATACCTATCTCGTTGGCATGAAATACGCAACTGAACTAGATAGGCAAACCAGCCCCGGATAATCCACTGGGATTAAATAGAGTAACCTGCGACGTACGGCCTTTCATGTCGTTCTATATTTTTACAACGAGATTCTTCCGATTTACTCTATCCGATGGTCAACGGTCCATCCTCATCCTCATCTTCGTAAAGGGAATTGACTTACGCCAACCCCTCGATTCCTTCAGCCGCAAATCGGAATAGAGAACCACTCGTGAAATACAACGCAATCTGTCTTCTGTCGATACAGCACCGGCAGTGGTCCAGCGCAGCATCCCCTTCAGAGCCATGTATCTCGAACATCCGTCTATGCAACTGCAACGTGTATACGTGAGTCGTTATTTTCTTGACAAAAGATTCGTAGGTCAGACATTTTTCACTACCTCATACCTGTTCATCTTGTCTCAAGGCGCGTTTCTATTCGCTGTGGAAAATAAGCCGTGATGATGAGTAAAGAACGTCTAGCCGGCCATAAAGCTCGGGGTAAAATACGTCGTCCCGTGGAATCGAATCTCTGGGACGAGAGTCTCTCGCCTCAACGTGTCTCGGAGGATGGGATCGTACCACTCCACGGTCCTGACCAATTTCACGAGCGAATGTGTTATCCTGAAAGAGTTTACTTCGTTTGATAGACTTTTTTTTTGTAATCTTCCATGTTGACTGTTGTATGTATCTCGATTCTGCCGAATTATTCTCACAGATTTACGTGAAGTGGGTTGATCACGTTTTTAATTAAAATTTTAGGGATTAATTGATACCAACAATTTTTTTCCGTTTGTATCCATAGGACTCTGGTGTAACGATTGATCAAACTTCAGATAAATTCATGAAAATCACTCAAGCACAAGGCTTGGAAAATTGGCGAAAAACGTGATAGCAATTTTAAACCGAAAAGAAATGAATGCGTACGTAGTAATAAAGAAAATTTAAAATGAACATGTACAAATTTGCTAATTGGAATAGCCAGTAATACAATAAAATTATTGAATAAAAGGCTCTCTGGTACACACCAGTATCTATCGTTAATCCAAATTTATATTTCATTTTCATAGAATTTTATATGTGAATGCACATCCGTAAGGGTTTTTACGTAACATCTTTCCTCCATTTGCTTGGGGAATAAAGGAGTGACGTACCAAGAACGATGGTAGAGAAATAGAAAAATCCACAAGCACCCTCTTAGGATTTACTGAAGATTCCGTAGTCTTGGGAGCCATTGGATACCACGGAGGTAGAAACTGGAGAAATGGGACATTTCGTCTTCGTCGTGGCTTCTGCTGAATCCCATATCCAGATACTTCTTGACTACAAAACGGAAGGAATCCTGGTTCATTGACGAAAGTAATGTATCAGAGTCATGATATTATATATAGAGTATACCAGTAGTAATAGCAATATTACTGCTAGTAGTAGCTGTCGCACTAGTGTAGTACCAGTAGTCCAAGTACTATAGTGTTTACGTTTACACGTAACCTCTATCTTCTATTTATGATGCACATCCAATGAAACCACGATCTCTCTTCCCATGTAAATCAAACCTTAAATTTGAAGCCAACTGGTGTCCCAAGTACCCAATTAAATTCCCCGCTACGAATTCTCTACAATCTCTTCCAGAAGCCTACAGCCCTGATTAAAAAATCTATTAATCTCTAGCGAATCCACGACGGTCGGTTTCATTATACAATCGTAGACAACTGATTTGCGGATAGTCAGAATAAATCCACAGAGCATTGGGACTATGGAACAATACGTGGCATTTGAATGGTAGCATACATGGCGTTGAAACGCTAACAACTCCTGTGTACACTAATTTCGCATCCCCAATTCATTCTCATCAATGGCTCGTATAAAGAGAGCGCAGAAAATTAAGAAAAGGTATTACATTCTTGTGAGATTATTATATAACGACTTCTGTATGTCAGTTAAGAAATTATATATGTATATATAAATTTTGAGATTGAACACGGACATAAGATAATACTATGTAGGAATTATTATACTGTATCTAAGTGTTAATCGAATTAATTATTGTTCTTGTTGATGTGATTGATGAAACGGAGTTAGGTATGTTAACGGCGACCTAATTCCCCTATGAGAATGTAATTGTTACTGACAGTGCCAGTCCTATTGACAGTAACTTTGTACAATGTAGCGAAGCAATTCCAATAGTTAGTAATGAAAATTATCGTTAACAATGGTTATACGTATCGGATGTAAAGTAAAGTCAGAATGACCAATTACAAATTTATAGCGCAGATAACAAACATTTCACTCGAGAATTTACCATTCCCGAGACGTGGACAATACAAATCGGCCAGCTTTATAACCTGCTGGTGTAAAATATCACCTCATCCAGAAAGAACGAAGAGTTCTTGGAATAGGCTTCTAAATCTCGACGATTCTCTCCGGGCGAGAGCTGCTCGTTAGTTTATTCTTTATACCAGACGCCAGTTTCTTTTTTGACACATCCATTCTCCATCATCTCATCTCCGAGACACGTATATCTTGATCGGAGAGATTGCAGGAAATAGTTGACTGCACTTAATTCTCTGTGCTCTGTTATAAAAGACTTTTGTATTTATCCTTGTTGTGTGCTCTATACTCTCGTCGCTCATTCTGAACTCGCCCTTATAATTCCCTTAGTCCCCTGTCGTGCGACTGTATAACCAGTCACGGAAATGACTATCCGGCTAATTACTGTGTTAACAACTCCCACATCCATGCAAATGTATTTTTTTTCTTTTCCTCTCTTGAATATCTCATGAGCCTATCAACGTAGCGCACCTTTGTCCATTATCAAGTAAGCTTTTAACTTTTTTCACCGGGATTACTAATTGACCGAGATGGTAATTACTGATCTTGTCAGTGGATTGTCCTTAATGTGCGCGCACACGTGTATAATGCTTGAATACAATGAATAGAAAAACGTCATTCAATTAATCCAACCAATTTGATCGTCATGACGTCCCGGCAATTAGCAGACTGCCAAAGTTACTTCAGCGGTGCTTCAAGGAATTCTTTTACAATGAGCGCCGTAATAAATCACATTTTTGCAGTTGACTCCAGTGGCTTGATTAATTTATAATGAGTTTGTGACTAGCTACCAACTGCTGGACGTACCCCACAGTGATCTTATTAATCATCAGTAAATACAGATAACAGCATCCATGACCTTGCTTGTACGTTAACCACTTTTTAGGGTCGCTGTCTGACTTTTTTCCTTCCATAAATAATTACTGGATAACGTCCTTTCTTCATGGTATCTTCGATTCAACTCGCCAGTCGTCCTGCTGGAACGAAAATAAAATAGGAATTTTATTCAAGGACATTTATTGCTCGATGAAATTCGACGTATGAAATTCCTAGGTTACCGGGAGGGCTGATGCGTGGAACGACTCTACCCAATGCCAATAACCAGGAATATGGCAGAAGAAGAGGAAGAAAAATATGGCAGTCTCACGTGTCACTGTAGAGGCAAGAAGGTATTAAGCTGCAAGCTGCCTAAGAATGCGTGATCGATTCCTACGACGAAGGCAACAAGACCAAGTAGGCAGTGTCGTACGAAGTCTCAATTGTTCCTCAGCATCAACTTAACATTCTTGAGGTCTGACTTGAGCATGGGACTATAGGGGTTCCCTACAAAAGCTGCCAACTGAAGGTGCGCCAACCCCATTCGCCAACTATTACATGAACTTAGGTATCCTGACAGTAGACCAAGTGGAAAGTTTAAACTTTAAGTAAGTTTCGCTTGAATGGTTATAGCGCTCAATTGCTCTTTCGATCGAACTATAACCTGTGTGCAATAATATCTGCACTTACCTCAGTTAATCGATGTCCATATACAGCCTGTATATACTTATGGCACTATCAAGAGTTGTATTCTTTGTATTTCCATTTACTCCAAATTAATATCCATTTATTCATGTATTTGGTGTATGTCATCCTTTTCCATTTGTCCACTCTTAAAGAAAACAAAAAAAAAAAGAATTAAAAGGGAACTCAGGGTAAACAACTATTATTCGATTCTTCAACATCCAAAAGGATCCTACCAGCAGTAAAGCTGGTAAGTGTGACGTTACATATGGAAACACCTCGAGTCGCAATGTGGGTGTGCCAGTCGTCGGAATATTGCATAAGTTATTCATTCGCTTAAAATATCACCAAGGCGCTCAGCTACGGGGGAAATAATGTTTCGACAAAATGCCGAGACTGGGGAAATTGCCTGGGACAATATTCGCTGAGTACTAAGCAGTATAGCCAGCCCAGCAGTAGGTACTACCCACGTAGGTGGGGTAAGTAGTTACTAAAGCCAAGTGCCTTGACATGCCTTATGACATCATTAAATATGAGTAAACTATCGACGATTGTAATACTAGAAAAAAAAAATCAGGTAAAACGAAAACGACAAAAGACAAAAAAATAGGATCACAATAAACCAACAAGAATGTAAATAAAGGATATTAATCTTTGAGAAAAAAAATTATTTTAAATAGTTATACTAATTTTTTAATATTTTTTATAATGACAACTTCACCACCACAGGCACATTTTTATTATCCCACAGCCATCCATGATTCTTCGGTGAACTCGTAAAAATCGCTTCTCTCTCTGCTCTCCGTCTCAGCACTTCTCGGAATTCTATATCCTGACATCGGCATTGCAGTGAACCAGTGCCGAAGAGATTTCCGAGTTTTCAGTGCGGGAAACGAGGGGTAAGGGATGGCGGTGAAGAAGGGTTGGGACGGGCAGTTAGTTCCTAACTTTTCCTATTTGCGCCCTGTCCTGCCCGATGCACGCTTTCCATTATTGGATTGTCATCGTTGCTCCAGGCGACTAGAATCCTTTCTTATTGCTTCGATATGGAGTAGATGAGTATACAAGTTATACATTCACATATGTATATACACATTGTATAGTAAGGTAGATAACTACGATAAGGAGAGCATAGGGAATGGATCGAGGATCGAGAAATTGCTACAGAACGGCCTCAACGACGACAAGGATAAAATAAAATGAAAAGAAGAAGCAAAAGCTGAAGAAAATCGCCGTCGCTTCTATTCATCCGAAATCTGTAATCTGGATAATCGAATACGAGCAAGTACGTGGAAAAAAGAGCATTTGGCATATAAGATGGAATAATATGGATTGTATCATCAGAGAGTTACATTGCTTCTATCAACAAAAAATTTTTTCCGTTTATCTTTTAAATCGAAATCGAAAAAGGTTGGCCCTCTCAGTGGCAATTCTCAAGGCAAATCATTTTCCCGTTAGGTACTCTCATTTCTTCATCACACCTGATACCACGCTTTTATCTTAGGTGAAAAATGATAATGGATTACTATGGACGAGAGTGATGTCAGTAATATAATTTGAAGACCATCTAAGAGTTATAGCGAATTATTTGTAGAAAATTGTTGTGGCAATCTGGTAAGATTTTATAGTGCAGTTTAAAGGTGATAGATACCTCAGAGTCCGTTCGATATAGGTAGTATACGTTGAAGATAGTAATGTGAGATAGGGGTTGCTTCGACGGCGGTAACACCGCTACCTCCTGAGGGTTGTCTAGTCGTGGTTTTCTCCTGGGCAAACTGGCAATGAGGATGGACGATGTAGACAAGCCAAACTCATCTTCCTCGAGGTAGAACTTTCCATTTTCTTTTTTTCTCTAGATCCCGAGTGGCTGTGATCTCCCTCTCTGTTACGTTAGGTTAGCTTGCACAATAAGGTATCCAGGAATTTGAGGAAATGGTAGCCTAACATAACCTAAGTCCGAGTAATTTAGCCCTAATAGAAGAGTATCACTAAAACAATAGACGATATAGTACGAAGAAATAATTTAGACCAACGTGTCGAATATTTTCTCGTGAAAAGATGGCGGCGGCACGTGATACTTCTAATTCCCTTGACATTCACATACAGTATGAAGATCTAACCTTTGTCTGTTGACCATCATTTTTCAGGACCAGCAGCTCTTCTAAAGCCTTCAGACGTCAATCCGTATAACAAAACAAATTTCTGTTGTTTCTTGTAAACTCACTATTTCTCACATTTGGTTTCTCAACGCGTAATTGTGCAGGCGACGACAGCGCGATCTCTGGCGATCACTCAAAATTTCTCAGGGCCCTGTACTAATAACTCGCGACATACCGACTGAGCGCCAGTGGCGCTATCGCACTTCAAAACGTGTCTTTCCCAACCTAAAAGGTAAAGTGACTTTGTCGAGTATTTCCCGTGGCAAATTCGTTCCGGAATAATCTCTCCTAAGTGTTATTCCCGTCTCAGCATAATTTGAGAATCGAGCCCTTTTGAAGATTTTCAGGAGTCTCGACTACTGCGAACCCTGCCAGGTATGTACGTATATATACATCTTATAATATTATACAAGTCAGCCTGCCAACAAGTCCATGAAGAATATCTTCTATACACTTGCGAACTCAGAGTCTAGCATGCGCTAAAACTTTATTAAAGCGTCAGCTATACATTATTCCTTGATTTACTGGAATTTATTCCTAAGAAGATACTTTGTATAATGGATTCATCTACCGGATCCTAAGAACTTTATTCAACTGCCAAAATATCAGTCTGAATTTTGTATATGCTCTTGGCAGATGGATATTTATATTTTATATATTATTAAGAAATAATTTACCATGAAGATCCACGATATCCAAACTCTATGGATAATCACAGAAGATTCAGACAATGTCAGATCAGCGTTGACTGCAGGAACGAAGAAGAAAAAAAAAGAAAACGAAGGGTTTTAGTTCACATAGACATTTTTCGTGGGCAAATCGGAGATAATGGAAGATAATGGGTTTGTGCCCTTACGTATCCAGGGAGGGCGCCCTTTTCGTTGGCGCTTTTTTGAGCGACACTAATGGCTTCCTTGGCGACGTTTTAGCCGCGGTTTATCGACGCTATTCGCGCACGCCTATATAACCCAGTATGAAAAAAAAAGCCAAGGAAAAACCTCAAAAGGAACGGCACAGGCTCGTTCGCTCACTTGCCTCTGTAAGATGAAAACCCTACAGGCGTATTGTTCCCTGATTAATGGACAAAATAATGGCTCAAGTTTAACATAGTTAGCTGGTAATCAGCGCGCGCGAATTTAAATTAATTAGCTTTTGAGTAGACACGCGCGATAGTGTGATTAATTGTGCGTGTCAAAACAAACAATAAGAATTCCTTAAGGTCACGATGAAAGAGCTCATCGTCTACTTCTCCGTCTACTCTCAATTTCCACCGTGTTCAACAATTTCATTCATAACTCTACAACGATTTGAATCTGTCATTGTTTCCCGCTCTTTTATATAACACCCGTCAATTTAATCTAGGTCGTGCCAATTATCATCAAAGTCCAGCTTCCTCAGAATCCAGTCACTCACGATATTGGGAATCTGTCATATAAATGGCCTCCCTCTCCCTTACCACAAAGGGCAATGACGTAAGTATCCTGAACTATCTAATGATCTTACACAACCGATTGCTCCAAGTAATTTGTAAGCCCGAGGCTACCATGAACAATGTTATCTGTCCAGCAGCAAGGAGAATCCCAGCCAAGGTATCAGACTCCATTTCGACGTATTTGCGTATCAAGATTCCCATTTAGATTTACTCAACGCCTCAGTGGACTGGTAGTACCACAATTAAGCCGCACCTTGAATAATCAAGAAGCTCCGCGACTATGCGCAACTATGCACCAACGTACACTCAAGGACTATGCTGCCAGGACTATAAGGATTTATACGAGTATACTCAATGAGACTATGAGAGATAGACACCCAAAGAGATGTGAATTCAAGATTCTGATATTGAGAGTAGGTACATAGCAGACTACCAGCTATATACTATGTAGATATAGATAGTATATTGCTCTGACGATACCATGCTTCGAAACTATGCACCAGTTTAACTTGGCTACCTAATCTCAGCCTGTCAAATGAGCCGGGACGTTCGTTTACGGAAACTATGGAACACTTGAGTTTCACTGTACTCGGAGTTTCGCGGCTTGTAAATTTCTCAACCTATTCGAATTCATTTATCAGTATTAATACTGCGTTGGATATTGATAAGAAATATGGCGATACGTAACGAATGTGTATTTGGATCTATTTGAATTAATTGTGAGCACTATATCGGAACCGTTATTTATATTTGCGTATAGTATAGTTGCGTATAGTATTTTATATATATATTGCGTATAGGTACTAAAATTTATTTGAAACCGATACTCAAACTCTTCTATATATTCACGTATACGAACGATCTCGTTCTATCGTTATTATAGTTAATTATTAATTGGTCGATATATTCTAGTAATCCAAGGTATTTCTCGAGAACATAATTTGAATGTACCATATATCCTAGGGCATAACTTGTACGTAACTCGGGCGTAAAGGCAGTACGTAATGTCGGCGACAAGGAGAGGTCGCGATGCGCTGGTGCATAAAATATTTATAAGCGGCGATTACACTTGCTTGGTCCGAAGGTTTGGGAGGACCGTATGGTTGAGGGATTTTGTGAAGGGATGCTGGTCGCGCGGATTCCCACGGAAATACGCGGAAGTCGTTTCTCCGTTTCCGGTGGGACGACTCGAATTGCGTTGCGGCCAAAACTGCTGCGTGACGAGGCGTCGTTTGACATTAGCGAAACAAATAGGTCGTGTGGGAATATCATAAGGGTAGTATTGGGGTTGTATTTAGAATCAATAAGATAGAAACGTATAGTATATACGGTATGTATGTTAAACGCGTAGTCGAACTCTGTTACAAGTTCGATGTAACCTCATTGATATAATTTCGTGCAGCCTTAGCTAGACAGAGGATGCCTTTTCGTGTTTTCATTGATCCTTGGGAAGAGCTGGCGGCATTTTGAATGACGCGAACGCGCATTGACAATTTAATTAAAATTTATTGTTCCTTCTGTCAGTACCGAAGGCTTCTTTATTCTCTTCCTATTCGTTTTCGTTCTCCCTTTTTTTTTAGCCACCCTTGTCCCGCGTGTATATGGGGTCGCGCGAAATTGTAAGTGAACACGCTTACTCTGGCTGGCGACGGGGATGGCGTGTATGCGTGAATTGTTTTATTCAGTGAATGAAAAAAAAAAAAAAGAAGTGCGAGTAAATGTTGCGAAAGTATGCAGAAAATTGGGAATTGTCACGAGACCCATGCGGTACAGTTTTTGCAATTTCGTTTCGTGGGATTTAATTAAAACTCGTCATCGAACTTTTTTCATCCTCTTTCATATTTCAAAAACCCTCGTAGTTCGATCTTCTCACCCCATATATTCAACTTGGCAGATAACATTCTCATCCCCCTGGAGTAATAGGTGACCAGTTTCCTTCACCCCCTCTCGCCCCTTACTAAAGTGCGAAACGCGTCACGCCTACCAACGCGTCTACGAACGCTTTCAATAATTTGACTGTTATTTACGTTTTATTGAAAGTAGCAAAAATTCATCCCCCTTTTAAAGGGTGACAATTGCTTCCTAGTTGAGCCCTAAGGGATGCCGGGGTTATGAAATATCCTCTTGTTCTCTGCAATCATATGCGCGGTTGACTTGATAAATTTTTGTTATCTTTTTCCATCTTCATCCCTTATCGGTCCCCCTCCCCCCCATCTCTCCTTCACATCCATTATTATAATCATTATTTTTCTCACGGTAATACATGCATCAGGGGTTGTTAGGTATCTCAATGATATTCTACCGAACATCTTGAGGTCGACACAGCTAGGGGTGGCTTTTCTTATCTCCACTGGGCAGCCCTAATGCAGTCGTAATTCCAAAACATCAATTCAATTATGTATAATCCAAAAAACGATATTACACGTGTCACTGTATCACAGTACATTAGTCATTCAAAAACGTGGGCCAAGGGGTTGACTTGATAGCCATTGTCAGATTGGCCAATTAATTTAATTAATGACAGGTAATTGCCAAAGTCGTCGAAGCAAAATCGCTCCAATTAAAATCCAGCGTATCGTTCATATTTTTAAATTTTAAACTTCCCTTCCTTTGTCTTTGCAAAAGTTTTGCGAGAGTCAAGCTCGCGCACAATTTATCGGCACTCGACGACAAACTGTCCGACGGTCCGTATGAGAGTGGCGAAACAAAATACAGGGAAAGTATGAAGAGCGAAGGAAAAAGATAGAGTGAAAAAAAAAAGGAGAGGGGTTACGAAATAGGGGATGAAAATGTGTCTAGCACGAAGCGAAATTAACTTCGGCCCGAATCCTTCAAACGCGTCATGCATAATAATCTTATTTTCAAGATAATTGAAATTCTGATGTAAAAGATGGCTGTCGCATATGACACACATAGAGATATCTATAAATTCCATAATAACTTTCATAATAGTATCAGTGTAATGGGAAACGTGTATTTTTATCTTTTTCCTTTTCTCTCAAAACACGTATTTCGCCTTTTCCTTTTGAATTTTTTTTTAATTAAAGTTCTCATCGTTTTATATAACCTCAGGGCTCAAGGAGTACTTGAAAACTTAAGTGGGTACTTAATACTTACTTTCCACCTAACAACCTTCTCAACCTTCCTACCTTTTTAACTGCTTAACTGTCTACCTACCTACCTACGCACCTGTTTGCCTGTCTGACTGGCTGCTCTTGTCTGACTATATACTTATTTATCTGTGCACTTGTCTGCTTTGATCTTCAGCCAATTAATACTCGCGTAGCCAGCTGCACCTTTGACTAGTCTTCCAAGAGAATTCTCTTGGCTTTCTGGAAATTACAATCCCACGTAACATTAAGTAGTTGTGACTTAAGACTTCAGGAGGGAAGGGAAAGTCCTTGTCACACCGTCACGACGGCGAGCATAGTGGTGGGATTAAAGTTTCCCTGGTTAATCCTTATCGTAAACCTTAAGGCTTCATTCTACCTCGTCGGGTTAAAAATTAGAGTTAATCTGAAAGTGCTGTAGAAATAAGACTTGAGGGATCTTATGGAGACTTTTAATATTCTTTCATGATCGTTTATAGGAAATATTATTATATATGTGTATTAACGAATCAGATGCGTATTTATATTGTATATTTTTTCGGAAATTAATAATATAAGATGAATATTAATTGGAAAATGACTTTTGGTCACTAACCAAAGGTTATAGTGAAATTTCATGTTTTTACGAGGGCAAGTACAGAATTGTTCTTAGGAAAACGAATGGAAGATCGGTACGTGATTTTTTTCCAGAGATTACCTGAAACAGTCGATAGCATCTGAAATTGTATTACTTACGAAAAAAAAAAAAAAAAAAAAAAA